GGCCTGACCTTGCATACCCTCTGAGCATTCTTGCACGCTATGTTGCTCCTGGGAGACACCGACCAGAGCACATGGCTGCAGCGAAGAGGGTATTGCGCTACCTGTGCAGTACGTCAGGCATGGGGCTAGTGCTTGGAGGGCGGAGTCCAGTGGTCCTTACAGGGCACGCAGACGCTTCTTGGGCTGACGATTAGACTACGCAGCGGTCGTCACAGGGTTACACCTTCAGTCTTGGTTCTGGCTCTGTCTCGTGGCGGGCTACTCGTTCGTCTTCGGTTCTCAGCTCCAGTTGTGAGGCTGAGATCTACGCCGGGGCCATGGCTGCACAGGAGCTTCGCTGGCTCACCTACCTGCTGACTGACCTTGGAGAGCCGCCTCGTTCTCCTCCAGTGCTGTACGTAGACAACAAGGCCATGCTGGCCTTGTGTCGAGAGCAGCGTCTGGAGCACAGAACGAAGCACATTGCTCTTTGCTACTTCCTTGCTCGTGAGCTACAGCAGCGTGGACAGTTGCGGCTTGCGTACGTGGCCTCTGAGGCCAACACTGCTGATGTGTTCACCAAGGCACTCGCGCCTTGTGACCATCAGCGCTTCTGCACCCAGCTGGGTCTTGTGCTTGTCTTGCCTCACTTGCTCTCCTCTTGACTTTACTTGTACTGTGACATATATATATACCTGCTCTTGCTTGTCTAGTTTTTATATATATATGTGTCTGTACTCCTGCATGTGAACTGGCCTTTGGCCCTGCTCTTGTGCTCGGACTGTGTGGTGACTTTGTGATCCACCCCGAGCTTGCTTTGCTTTGCTTTGCTTGACTGGTCTTGTGACCCCTTGTTCTCCCCCACTTTGCCTATGGGGGTGTGTCAGAACATATCTATAGCTTATACTATTGTGTAGGCTGTAGTGGGGTATCCCATAGGGGGTACAACCCAGTTAGGTTTTCATATTTGTACTGCCTTCATTCATAGTTCACACATCTCCGTTCACTTGTTTCACAAGGACAACAAGTTGTGCAGGAGGACAGCGTGGTCCATCGCTGCTGGCCATTCTGAGTTGGGCAGTCGAGTTCCACGTAGCAGCTTTCGCATGGTTGTCTGTAGGGTCCTGTTCATCCTTTCTGCCACACCCTGCTGTTGGTGAGCGTAAGGAAGAGAGATGAGGCGTTTGATGCCTCTTTCTGCCAAGAACTGTGTGAAGCTGTTTGACTGGTACTCCTTTGCGCCATCTGACTGAAAACTCTTCAGTTTCGCTCCTGACTCTCTTTCAGCGACAGGTAGCCAGGCTGTGAAGGCTTCTAGAGCCATGTCTCGTGACGGTAAGTTCACGTGCCAGACATATCGCGTTGCGGCGTCGATGAAGGTGATGACGTAGTTCAGATCTTCACGTCCTTCAGTTCGAGGTATGTATAGTATGTCGCTGTAGACTTTCTCGAGTGGTTGATAAGCGGGGGCGCTCGGATTGTGGTGTGACGGGAACGGTTGGTGAGGCAGATCTGCTTCCGGGCAGATGAAGCAGGTGCCGCGTGGTCGTTCGAGTTCACGTCCGTTGGGAAGAAGTAGGGCGTTTTTGTCTAACACTCCGGCTCGTATTGTATTGTAGAGTGTTGTGTTTCCAGGATGTCCAAGACGTTGATGCCAGATGTCTTCGGAAGCGCTGTGACCTACGGAGCGTCGATAGAAGTCTGCGTTAGCGAAGAAGGCGGCGTGAGTTGCTGCACTTCGAAGAACGGCGCGTGGTGCTGGCGTTAACTGTTGGGCGGCTGTCGGTGGCGTGTCGATGATGAGAGGTGGAGGTGCGACGGAGGGACCGAGCTGTGGAGTTTCGGAAGGTTGTTCCGCGACGACGGTTGGTTCTTCAATTGCAGGTTCGGTGGTTGTTGGTGTTGTGACGGGTGCAGTTGTTGTTTCGATGACGGGTGCTGACACAGGTGTTGTGGCTTGTGTTTGCAGGACGGCAAGCGCGTTGGTGCGTTCAGCTTCGGGAATGGTACGAGAGTACCAGAAGCCTTCAGGACTGAAGTTCGGGTCGAGGTCTGGCGGATGCGTCCAAGGTGCGAGAGCGACTATGCCGTCGCTGTCTGCGGTGCCTTTGTCGGGGACGAAGTCGAGGACGAACACGTCATCTTGTTGGATTGCACGGCCGATGAAGACCCCCCCTTTTCCGTGGTAAAGACGGATTTCCAGGGCGTCGGAGTCGCACTCCAGGTGAACGCCTTTCGACATGAGTTGGCTGACGCTCAGTAAGTTAAAGCCGAGGTTGTCGACGACGAGTACTTTGTTTAATTGAAGAATAACATTTGTTTCGTTTGACTGAAGCTCCACGACTCCTTGTTTGTTGGTGCGCAGGTTTTCGTTGTTGGCGATGGTGATGATGACGTCTCGCGGAAGACGTCGTTCGCGCTGAAGAAATCGTGATGAAGAGCACATGTGATGACCGCAACAACTGTCGAGGAACCATGTGTCTGGTCCGGTGGGTGCACGGTTCGCGATGGTGGCGTACGTTGGATTCACGTTAAGGGACGACGGTGGTGGTGACGGTTGCTCATCAGGACTGTAAGTCGGTGGAGAGCCGGTAATGCACGAGTCGATGTTTGACTCTGTTGTTCGATCCATGGCGACGATTCTTGGTGTCTGTGCAGGTCCTGAAGTGGAAGTTGACGATCGTGTTGAAGTAGTCGTTGAGGCGGTAGCGGGTCGTTGTTGAGTTGACGTGATGTGGGGAGGCACTGGTCGCAGAGGACGAGAGAATGGTGCTGGTTGTCGTTGTTGTTGAGGGCAGTTGAAGCGTGTGTGTCCTGAAGTCCGACAAAGATGACCATAAGGAGGTACGTGTCCTCGATTTTGGTAGCGTGGCTGTCGTCGATTGGTGTAGAGAACGACTGGTTGATGATGCCTTTTGTTGTTGCGTTCTTCGAACAGGTCCATTTCCTGCTGCTCGGCGTGAAGTTCGGCGCAGAGATGCATTTCGGAGAGTCGACCGTGAGCGCGAAGAAGTGAGCGGGTGGTGCGCCACTGAGGTCCAAGGCCGGCAAGAACGACGGTTACGAAAGCTTCTTCAGATAAGTTTCCTCCGCAGCGAATGAGTCTGTCGCGTAGTCCTTGACAGCGACTGATGTAAGGCATGGCCTTTTCTCCAGGTTGCATTTGAACTGTTGTCAATTGTGCCATGAGTCGGCTTTGCGTAACGCTGTCGGATGCTTGATGAATACTTCGCAGATGTTGATAAGCGAGCTCCGCGGAGTTTGCGTAGTTTCGGTAGGCGCGGATGCTTTGTTGTTCGTTCGGCGACAGGTTTCGGAGAAGAACGGTGTAAGCCATGAGGGAGTGATACGTATAATTTTCTTTGTCCTTGTCTTCGCCGTTGTGTGGATATGGCCAGGTACCGTTGAAGAAGCCAAGAAGATTCGCGCCTTCCATCAGGAGTTCAAACTCGAAGCTCCAAGAGTAGAAGTCCTTCCCGTTGAATGGTGTGGATGTGTGCAGTCGTAGGATGTTGTTGAACTGTGCTTGTACTTGCAGGACTTCTTCGGTGTCTCGTTTGATGGCGGGAAGAGGAGTCGCTGGATGGCGGGGCGGCATGAACGTGAAGGAACCAGGTGAGACCGAATTTGGTGTTTGTTGATTATGTCGTCCGAACGATGAGTTGTCAATATTCATTGGTGCCGTTCCGTTGTTTACGCTGTTGCTGTTTGCAGGTTGCGAGGACTGCTGCTGCGACATGAAGTTGAAGAACTCCTCCATTAAGCTTGGGTTGAAGATTGTTGGCGGCGCTACTGGTGCTTGAGTAGAGCGTTCCGTCGCTTCCGGCGTTAATCCGGGCGTTGTTCCTCCTTCGGTCTGCAACTCGGAGACTGGGGGTAGAGTAGATCCCGTAGATGATCTTCTTTCTTTGCCACTTGCCATGTCTTGCCTTTCTTGAGTGAAGGTTGAACTTCTTGGTCGTTTGCAGATTGGTTGCCTGGAAGAGGCTTAGTGACGAGAGCCTTTGTTCTCTGACTGCTCTCATACCATGTTGGGCTGAGAATTTCAGCCTGAGGATCTTTGCAGAGAATAGGCTAGTAAGTGCTAGAGTAGCACAGCGGAAGTCTTGAGTGAATGTACTTGTGCTGGTATGTGAGAACAAGTAATTGATTAAAGCAAAGGGCATACAGGAATATATAGAAAAGATAGATTACAAGAAGCGGTTATGTTTATCGAGACGCGTAACGCTTCGACTATCGAGGTGGTTACTGCTCACTGAAGCGTCGCTTGCTGTTACGTAACCTCCAGGCGGTTACAGCTCGCAACCTCCAGTTGCGGTTTTGATGTGGTACGCGCCTTTTCGACTTCGTACTCCTTTTAGTTTTGCTTCAGTATCGGGTGAGGTTCGATACTACAGAAACGCACTAAGTCATGCGTTTATTTTCCCAACAAAGGCAGTACTTTAAAGCTGCCGTCTACATACCAAAGGGTATTTTCTGGGGGTATTTCGGGTGCACGCCCTAAGACGCAGTCTGATTTGCACACGAAATGATCCCTTTCCAGAAATGAGAGCGCGAAGGATTCAAACACAACTGGCGAATTCCGCCAGTTTCGTGCAAGGTTTGGTTGGGGGGGTACTTTTTTTGTGAGGTTGGGGTTGTGGTGGCGATTTCGCCACAACCTGCAACCAATCGAGGCTGGGGGGTAGATTGGCGCGAAATTTGTAAGCCAATCCTGAGCAGGCCAACTTTCAGAGGGGGGGTTGGGTTGTCAGAAAGCAGTAACTGCACCTCGCCACCCAAGGATGGAGCGAAGCCCTGTGCTACCTGGTTTTCAGGTGATAAACCAGGTCCTCCTGCAGGAGGTGTGCAGGCGACAGCTTTAAGTTCACAACCGTTCATTTGCATTCTTTCCAGCTAGCATATCTCGCAACAAAATTCCCATTCCTTCTACTTCCCAGCCCTAATCTTTGTACGGTATATCCAATTGCAAACGCCCCCTTCTCACGTAAACCAACCCAGTCTTCTCAATTCATTGCCAATCAGGCAGCCCCACTTTCCACCTCCTTTCTCCTCCCCACCTCCACCACCTTATGCGGCACAATCTGCCCTCGCTTCCTCTGCACGCGCCGCAGCCACCTGTGATTGGCCGCAGCAGCCCTCTGCCGTTCCACTCGCTCCTCCTCAGGGCCGCTCATCTCCCGCACCACCACGGTGAGGCGGCTTCGGTAGCGGTGCTTCACCCCCGACCGGCCCCTCCCATGCGGGTTCAGCCGCTTCAGATACCGGCCCTTGCCCACATATGCCTCCGCTGGGGGGGGAGGGGGGAGGGGAGAGGGGGAAAGAGGGGAAAATGGTTTATTATCATCAGCAGGAGCGGTGCTTCACCCCGATCGCCCCCTCCCATGCGGGTTCAGCCGCTTTAGATTCCGCCCCTTGCCTATATACGCCTCCGCTGCAGGGAGGAGGGGCGGAAGGAAGAGAGGGGAGGAAGGGGAAACAAGAGAGAAGGAAGGGGTTGGCTAACTGGCTTCACCCCCAACCGCTTCCTCTCATGTGAGTTCAGCCGCTTCAGATACCGGCCCTTGCCGACAAAGGCCTCCGCTGGAAATAGAGAGGTGAGGGGAGGGGGCACGGGGGGGAAACAACAGAGAAGGAACGGGAAAAGAGGATGACTGGCAGCAACCCGATCCCTTCCTCCCACGCGGGCTCAGCCGCTTCAGATACCGCCCCTTGCCCACAGAGGCCTCCGCTGGAGGGAGGTGGGAGAGAGGGGAGGGGAAGAGGGAAAAAAAGAGTGACTGGCAACGGACTGACTGGCAGCACCCAGACCGCCCCTCCCACGCGGGCTCAGCCGCTTCAGATACCGCCCCTTGCCCACAGAGGCCTCCGCTGGAGGGAAGGAGGGAAAGGGAAACAGCAACAAATTTCGTGCAGGGACGGTTGGTTGGTTAGATGTACACCAACAGGTGGTTACAAAGTTGTACACCAACAGGTGGTTACAAAGTTGTACACCAACAGGTGGTTACAAAGTTCTTCACCAACAGGTGAAAATCGGCTGCCTTGTCAAAGAGGTCGTTTTTGAGGCGCCTCAAAAACGACCTCAATGCACGCTGATTTTGAGGCGCCTCAAAAACGACTTCGTGCAGGGACGGTTGGTTGGTTAGATGTACACCAACAGGTGGTTACAAAGTTCTACACCAACAGGTGGTTCCAAAGTTCTTCACCAAAAGGTGAAAATCGGCTGCCTTGTCAAAGTCCATGGTTACTACTTGAGTCCAGGGTTACGATTTGAGTTCGTGGTTACTACTTGAGTCCGTGGTTTCTATTTGAGTCCGTGGTTTCTATTTGAGTCCGTGGTTTTTACTTGAGTCCGTGGTTTCTATTTGAGTCCGTGGTTTTTACTTGAGCCCGTGGTTTCTATTTGAGTCCGTGGTTTCTATTTGAGTCCGTGGTTTCTATTTGAGTCCTTGGTTTTTACTTGAGTCCGTGGTTTCTATTCGAGTCCGTGGTTTTTACTTGAGTCCGTGGTTTCTATTTGAGTCCGTGGTTTTTACTTGAGTCCGTGGTTTCTATTTGAGTCCGTGGTTTTTACTTGAGTCCGTGGTTTCTATTTGAGTCCGTGGTTTTAGCTTGAGTCTGTGGTTTCTATTTGAGTCCGTGGGTTTTACTTGAGTCCGTGGTTTCTATTTGAATCCGTGGTTTTTACTTGAGTCCGTGGTTTCTATTTGAGTCCGTGGTTTCTATTTGAGTCCGTGGTTTCTATTTGAGTCCGTGGTATTTACTTGAGTCCGTGGTTTCTATTTGAGTCCGTGGTTTTTACTTGAGTCCGTGGTTTCTATTTGAGTCCGTGGTTTTTACTTGAGTCTGTGGTTTCTATTTGAGTCCGTGGTTTTTACTTGAGTCCGTGGTTTCTATTTGAGTCCGTGGTTTTTACTTGAGTCCGTGGTTTCTATTTGAGTCCGTGGTTTTTACTTGAGTCCAGGGTTACTATTTGAGTCGAAACAGAGGCAACCCTCCCACACTCACACGCCCACACCCCTTCCTCCCTCACCAATGATGAGCTTATTCTCCTCCAGCCCATGGCTGTTATCGTGTTTACTCAAAAGCACCCCTTCAAACCCACCCACACCCAGTCCCTGCACACCCCCACACCCTCACACCCCTTTCTCCCTCACCAATGATGAGCTTCTTCTCCTCCAGCCCATGGTTGTGCACTGCGTTGGCCTTGGCTGCTGTGACCACCTGCAGAGGGGCAGAGGGAGGAAAGGAGAGAGAAGCACAATGTCTTTTTTCACATCCATTCTCATCATTCTTGCGAGAGAAGGACAATGCCATGTTCTCATCAGCTTCCTACTCTCCTCTAGCCCATACTTGTGCTGCTGCGGCCTTGGCTTGGCTGCTGTGACCACCTGCGGAGAGGGGCAGAGGGTGGCAGAGGGACGAGAACAGCCATTCTAGGACCTTCTAAGATCTCACACGCTGATGAGTTTGAGTTTGAGGTCTGTCACGCAGGTTCTCAACCTCAAAACTCATCTGGCAAACTGGCGGTGTTAGACATTGCAAACCTGTGATACCATCGCATCTAAGCTCCTCCCTCCCATCTCTCCTCACTCCCAATTTACTCCCATCTCTCCTCACTCCCAATTTACTCCCATCTCTCCTCATTCCCGTCTCTCTCACCCTCTCATTTCCCTCACCCCCACCTCTCCTTACCCTCATCTCACCTTACCTTAAATCACAGCTGGCATCTCATGCCACCTTAGCGACGGTCTTAGCAGCGTGCTTGGTGCTTGCTCATAGCCATGTGCATGAGAGAGAGCGCTGTGGGGATGGATGGCACATGGATGGCACCCGTGCGCGACGACTTCCACTCTCACCGGAGTCACACATCTCGCCTCCATCCCACATCCCACCTCACTCCCATCCCACCTCACTGCCAACTCACCTTAGCCACGGCCTTAGCAGCGCGTTTGGTGCTAACGGCCATCTGCATGAGCGCATCGTCTGGTTGGCGTGGCACCTGTGAGCAAGCGACTTGGTGCTGACGGTGGTGACCACAACTCTCACCTCTCGCCTCACTGCCAACTCACCTTAGCCACGGTTTTAGCGGCGCGTTTGGTGCTGACGGCCATCTGCATGAGCGCATCGTCTGGCGTCATCCCTCGCACCATCGCCGCCACCAGATTCACCTTCTTGGGACCCTGGGAACAGCCGAGACATGGGTACAGGGGAGGGTGGGGACGGGAAGGGAGAGGAGGGGAGGGGAGGGGAGAAGAGGGGAGGGGAGGGAAGGTGAGGAGAAGGGAGGGGAGGGGAAGGGAGGGGAGGGCGGTTGGGAAGTACGGCAGAAGGAGGGAGAGGGGTGCGTATGCATTTCATGTCGTGGCGTGGTGTGACGCGGCATGACGTGGCGTGACGTGACGTGGCGTGGCGTGAAGTGGCGTGGCGTGACGTGGCGTGGCGGCCCATGGATGCGACAGGCTGGCATGGGCCATCCAGGGAGAAGGTGGGATGCGACAGGCTGGCGTTCAGGGCAACATGCCACTCTGTACCGCACAGTACCTGTTTGAGCCCTGCGAGAACGGCGCGAACCGTGCGACCAGGGGGCGACGCGGGCGACAGCGGCGACGCGCCTGTAACGAGCGGCGACACCACCGGAGCGCCGGACGTCGGAAGCAGCGTGGAAGCCGGCGGCTGCGCCTTCTCCCCGCTCGCGCCGCTCGTTGCCACGTCAGCAGCAGCAGCAGCTGCAGCGGTAGCGACGCTTGGGGATGAGTGAAATGTGGTGAATGACGCGGCTCGAGCGCCGACTGCAACGGGAAAGACTGGGTACGATTGTGTATATCCATGCTGAAATGAACCGTTGGATCGGTGCCACGTGTCACCAGGAGATGCATCGCCGACGCTAAAACTGCGACCAATAGAAGAGCTCGTTCTGGTGACGGCGGGATCGATTAAAGTACAGCAAATGCTGGGGTCCTGAGGATGTCGGGTAGCGAGGACGGCGCTAGCTGGGACAGGAGTAGGCCGCGGCGCAGACGAGGCTGCGTGTGGTCGTCTGAGGCAGTGCCGCAACGCCGCCGCGGCCGAGCGGAAGTGGCGCGACGCTGATCCGCTCATGGCTCCAAGCCGTAGACGCAACAGAGAATCCTATCCGATCGGCATTCCGTCAGTGCTGTTGATGAATTATATTTATTGATAAAAATGTCGTACATCCGTTGTAGTCTAGTCGGTTAGGATACTCGGCTCTCACCCGAGAGACCCGGGTTCAAGTCCCGGCAACGGAACTTTTCCTTTTCCAGTCTCTACGGCTGACATGCTTGTGCTTTCGTTCTGGCATGACTAGATGAGTCCTCAGGTTTTTGTCACGGCTACTGTTCTTGCGTCGCCGCAAACGACGGCCGCCATTGCAACCGTTCTCACTTATGGAAGGTTAAGGAGTACTGTTACTTTGTAGCTTCCTCACTCTGACCTCGTCACTTGATCGATGTCAGGCATAATGACGTCAGCATGCTTTCGTCCGAGGCCACTGTCGCATTCCCTAGCATCGCATTCGCGTCCGTCGCGGATCGTCGCATGCGCTCGCCTTCGATCGTCCCCCGTCGTCGCATGCCGGAATCTCACTCTGCAGGCGACACTGACATTGCCCCTCGCTCTCAGCCTTCACCTCCCGTCGGCTAGTCGGCAAAATCACGCCCATTCCGTCTCATTCTCGAGAATTCTAAAGCATGACGTCAGTATGACGTCCTCTGTTTCCAGGCGCGCCGATAGTCAGTCAATTCAACCGGTCCGTCAGTTACTCTGCCATCATCGCTTCTCCCTTCATTCCTTTCCTTGCTTAGTCCCGTCAGCCTTCTTCTTTCCCATCGCCGCCGCCGCCGCCGCCGCCTCCCACCCCTCCTCCGCCGCCTCCGCCTCCCCCCCCTCCGCCTCCTCCTCCGCTCCTTCCTTCACTATAAGCACATCCGTTACCTTCCACTCGGAGATTAAAAGGAGTCGTTTCGTGGCGGTAGCAGTACCGGTGGGGTCTGCAGAGGAGGCGATGCGGGTGTTGGACGAGGTGAGAGGGGGGAGATGAGGGGGGGAGGGGGAGGGCAAGAGGGAAGAGGTGAAGGGAGAAGGAGGGAAGTGAAGTGGGCCGAGGTACCTGCGCCAGTGGGGTGTGCAGAGGAGGCTATGCGTGTGTTGGACGAGGTGAGAGAGGAAAGGGCAGAGGAGGAACGGGGTAGGTGTGGGGGGAGAGGGGGGGTGTGGGTGGGAATGTGAGAGGAGGGGGTGATAAAGGGGGACGAGGTAGCCGCCCCAGTGGGGTCGGCAGAGGTGGCGATGCGCGTGTTGGACGAGGTGAGAGGGGGGAGGGGGGAGAGGGGGAAGAGGGGGAAGAGGGGGAAGAGGGGGAAGAGGGGAGATGTGAGGGGGAAGGAAGGAAGTGAAAGAGGGACGTGGTGGCAGCGGCAATGGGGTCTGCTGAGGCGGCGATGCGCGTGTTGGACGAGGTGAGGCGGTAAAGGGGAAGGGGGAGGATGGAGGTGAGATGGGAGAAGGGGGGGGAAGGGGGGAAGGAGAGACAGGGTAGCGGCGCCAGTGGGGTCTGCAGAGGCGGCGATGCGCGTGTTGGACGAGGTGCGAGGTGAGAGGTGAGAAGGGGGGAGGAGAAGGTAGGAGGGAGGAGGGGTAGAGGTGAGAGAGGAGAGAAGCCATAAAGTGGCAGCCGAAGAGAGATAAATTGTCTCTAGAGGAGAGAGGGGAGAGGGGAGAGGGGAGAGGGGAGAGGGGAGAGGGGAGAGGAGAGAGGGGAGAGGTGAATTTTTGCATGCATTCATGAGTCTGTATTTCCCTTGAACCGCCTAATGGACCCTCCCCTCCTCACCTCCCCACTCTTGCTACCATTCTGGCTTGCCGTCCCCTCCTTGCCGTCCCCTCCTTGCCGTCCCCTCCTTGCCGTCCCCTCCTTGCCGTCCCCTCCTTGCCGTCCCCTCCTTGCCGTGCCCTCCTTGCCGTCCCCTCCTTGCCGTCCCCTCCTTGCCGTCCCCTCCTTGCCGTCCCCTCCTTGCCGTCCCCTCCTTGCCGTCCCCTCCTTGCCGTCCCCTCCTTGCCCCGCCCCACCAGGTCAAAGATTCGTCAGCCAGCCACAACTGCTGGGCGTACAAGGTGGGGTTCTGGGCGGGCAAGATAAGATGTTGCATGTGTTGCAAGATGAGATGTTACGTGTGTTACTGCATGTCTGGCAAGACGATGAAACGTCGTACGCTATACTTGGTATAAGATGTGGGGTCCATTTGTTTCACAGAGATGGTACATGACGCCCTCCAAGTTGGTTTTGAGGCGCCTCAAAACATTACGTCCTCCAAGTTGGAATAATGCAAAACATCCCACCATGCAGTTCCATGCCTTGTCACATTTCACCAGAGGGATCTAGCATAGCTGTTGAATCCACCACTCTTGCTCATGTACCTCACCCTAAGCCTGCTTTCCCAGTTCATGTGTTTCTTCTATCCCCATCCACTGTAATTCGTTTCACACTTCTCTGTGTGTGTCAGTATGCAATGTTATCCCCGTATCCCTGCCCGTCGCATCCTGTCCCCCATGCCAGATCTCCCCAGCTTACCGTTTCAATGATGACGGGGAGCCGGGAGGAACAGCCGGGCGGCCGATTTTGGCAGCTATTGAGGGGGCTGGGGTGGATGGTGTCATGGTGGTGGTAACCAGGTAACGAGGTAGAGAGTCTCACCCTTGCATGAGTAATGCTCAATGTAAGACATCCTCTCTCATGCTTTCCTGCTTCGTTAAAAGCAATGCAGGGGAATTTACAGCTCTAGTACAGTAGTTTACTGGGATGGGGAGGGTAATGCTTCATGCTGCCAAGCCGAATGCTCCATTTCCAATTTATGGGTGCTATGGGGAGCGGAAAGCTTGGAATTGATAGTGCGTTGTGCTCTTTTTCTTTTCCCCCATTCCCAACGTGAAAGTGCAATGGGGGAGTGAAGCTAGGAACAGGAGGTCTACTGCCGAATTTTGATGCGGCCAGAAAATCATTCGTTTTCATTTTGTGTGTGTTCCCAACGTGTAGGTACTATGGGGGAGTGAAGCTAGGAACAGGCGGTCTGGTGAGGGCGTATGGCGGAGCAGCAACAGGAGCACTGCGGGAAGCCACTCTGGTTCCAGTCCTGCGAAAGGTGTGTTCTTCTCTTTTGAGGCTTCTCAAAATCCGCCTCACTACCCGTGGTTGGTTTTACTTTAAGGCGCCTTGAAAGTCGCAGCAGCGGCAGCAACAGGAGCACTGCGGGAAGCCACTCTGGTTCCAGTCCTGCGAAAGGCGTGTTCTTCTCTTTTGAGGCTTCTCAAAATCCGCCTCACTACCCGTGGTTGGTTTTACTTTAAGGCGCCTTGAAAGTCGCAGCAGCGGCAGCAACAGGAGCACTGCGGGAAGCCACTCTGGTTCCAGTCCTGCGAAAGGTGTGATTATTCCCACCCAGGTATGTCTGTAATGCCTTATCCTGAGAATTCATGAAATACAGCACCTAGATGTTATTCCTATCTTGGCCAGGGATGTATCAATGTAGTATCATATTGTGGGAGGAAATGTTTTTAGTGCTAGAGGCAGTGAAGCGCAATGCATGTGCATCAGCCCATGCAGTTTCCATTGTGCACGCTGTGAGGAAAAAGCCCTTTACTTAAAACGACACATTAAAAACAGGAAGAGAATCAATGTGAATAGCAAACAAGAATGCCGTGAGGCCTCCATAACGTACAGTGTGTAACTGGTCTTAACTTTCTCGAACGGGTGTCAAACTTGACGAATAAAGCTCGCATCTGCGCAGTGAGGCGTTTCTTGGTCAGTGACTCACGCACTGGCATCAGCATTTACAGCATTTTCTTGTCATGTATTTCAACTCATTTTCTCCTCGTAGGTGGTTTTTTATGCACCTCAGAGGTATTTTGGCCTTGTGTGTTTTGCCGGTAATGTGTTTCTCTTCTGGCAGGTGGCCCTGAAAATAGTTGCTCCAGTGCACCACGTTGGACTTCTTTACACCGTGGTATGTACACTGACGCTCTGTACTTCAATGCGTGCTCGCTATTGCACTGTACTACTGTACTATGGTCTTGCAGGTTTCAGCTATAATTGTGCTGTTTATCTTTGCAGTCCTCATCTCATTTCTAAATGCACCATTGAAGCCTCTTTTCTTGCATACTTACGTTGCATCGTACCACACAAAACATCTTGTGGCTTACCTCAATATATGCCATCCTTTTTCTCCTCTGCATGTATCGACATGGCACAGCTTCAACGGCCTGAATACTCGGTTGAGAGATTAAACGAAACTTATTGTGAAAGCGAGGATGGAAAAGGTAGTGTAGTTGAGCTTCAGATTATGGTTCTTGCAGACTACGTTCCTAGGCTACAAGACACATTGTCGGATGCACTGAGAGGAGACGTGTTGGTAACGAATGGAGATGAATAAACAGGTGTTGGATCAATGCGTAGTGTATTACGCATCAATTCTGCATGCATCTTTGAAGTTGTTTCTTGGGTTTGACGGTCATGTGACATGTGAAATGCTGTTTTGACAGGGCATTCAAAAACAGTGGCAAATACCAGGGGGCACTGTCTTTAGGGCCCATGAAGGGAGTTTTGGCATGCAAAGCCTGCCAAAATGTGCGGAAGGAAGCATTCAGCTACTCTAACACTGAACAGAACAAGAACTGATGTCAATATCCTAGGTTTAGAAAATTACATAAGCCTTTTAGAGTTCACAGTCAACAGGCGGCGGGTGGTACAACCATACATTGCAACGGGGAAAAGCCGAACGCTTGCTAAGAATTGGTCAGCCATTTGTTGATTGGCCCCACATGTTCAACCAATCACACCTTCCAAACCAAGCCGATGGCAGTCACTACATTTTCCCTTTCGGGATCACCTGGGTCACGATTCACCGAGGTGCGCACCAATCAGTAACCTTCGCGCCTCTTACAAACATCTAGGGGTCTCGGGTGATTCGTCCTTGGGCCTCACAAGCCACCCCCTCCATTCCCCATGTCGTTCGGTCGTTCAGTTGTTAATGCCTCCCAACCAACTCGCTGAATCCACAAACCATTGTTTATTGCGAGTAATACGACCGCACCGTACTGAACGACGTCTATGTTCTTTTTCAGAATATCTGTGCAGTCATGTTCCCAAGGCTTGAAGGCGAGCACCACGGATACATGTCATGCTCCGCGCCACTGCCATAGGCCTCGAATTTGCAGCAAACCCTTTCGACCTTTTTCCACCACAAACAGCAGAACTTGTGCCCAATGAGCAAAACCCGATCGGCAGGAATCGAGTCGGCCAGATCTTGTCATTGCCTAGCAATGGCATTTTGGGGCTCTTAACTTTTCCAAGAGCCAAACTGGCCTCCTCACTACAAGGGTTCTAGCGGTGGTAGATTGATGCTTCGTGGAGCTGTGCTGGCGACAGCACTGCCTCGTAAGTCTGTTATCCCCAAAAACCGTCATACGCCCCTCTGTGAGAATAGCAGCCAATGATTGTGCAGGCAAGCCGTGCCCGTTCAAATCTCTAAGTAGCGAAGTCCAACTTCCGAGTTTCACAGGGTCAGAGCATAGTAACCCGTGTGTTGGACATATCACGCAGCTCCCATGGCTATCAGGAGACTACCTTGGGGTCCCCAGGCCCATGCGGATCTTTCCAGGAGACCAACGATGGCCGTTCAAAAAATGGCGGCTACCTTGCGCGCACGCAGAGCCAGGTTACTGACACGGGATTGGTTGATTCAGGAGCCGGGCTAGCATTGGCCGGCGGGCCGTCGTAGACGAGTCGGGCATGGGTAGTCTTCTCCTGAACGGCAAGAAATGATGCGGCTTTGGTCAGACTGTTGGGTACAGCAACTGATGCCTATTAAATCAACCATCTGAGTTGTGTGACGAGCCATATCCTCCGCGAGTCGGCGAAATCTCTTCGTTTGACCATCTCCCTTGCGCCCTGCTTTGCTAAGCCGCTGAATCTCAAGTCAAAACTGAGTCGAATCTATCGATCTCTAACCACCTTTAGACCGAATCCCGCACTGGACAGAACCATGGGGTTTCAGAGCGCGACCCTCGCCGCAGCCAACGCTACTCCTGTCGCGTTCCGAACCAGCAGCTTGAGCAGCCAGACTAATCCCGAACACGGTTGTAGCAGCAGCTACATCCAGGTCCCCCACCGCATCGCGTCTTCCCCTTCATTCCTCCGCGCAACGACGTACCCCGCACACGTCCGCAGGCAAATTTTGGCAATTCCGCTGCGCGTTACGGCGGAAACTTCCCCCGCAGATACTGCCAAGCCTGGCGGCCCCAAACCTGGCGGTTCCAAGCCTAGAGACGTGACTCCCGCCGCCCCTGCTGCTGCTGACGGTCCGGGGGTTGTAGCGGGTGCTACTGCCGTCCTGGAGGCGCCTGCGGTGCTTCAGCCGTCGTCGGCGGCCGGCAGCGACCCAGATGCGGTCCGGCTGGTACCGCGAGTGGAAGAGCGCGAGGGGTATTGGGTCCTAAAGGAGGAGTATAGAACGAGTCTTAATCCCGCGGAGAAGATTAAGATTGCCAAGGACCCGATGACGCTGATCGCGGAAGGCGGTAAGGCGCTTCGGGAGCTGGCTTTAAAGACGATGGCGGAGGTGGACGGGAGTAAGGAGGCGAAGGACGACATCGACTCGCGGTTCAAGTGGCTGGGACTGTTTCATCGCCGCAAGCAGCAATGTGAGCCCAATATGTGTGATTCTCACGGCAATATGAGTAGCCGAAGTCCACTTCACGCGAAATTCTACTACGTGATTACAACAAAGCACTTGGGGCTGTATCCCTGAACTCCCTGCCCTTCTCTGCGACCACCCCTCCTCCTCCCCCCGCACAACTTCCCCCTCCATCCCCTCACTCTCGCAACAGTCGGTCGCTTCATCATGCGCTTGCGGCTGCCCAATGGTATCAGCAAGTACGCCCCTATTCTCCCTCCTCCCCCTTTCCCACTCGCCCTCCCTTTCCCCGTTACAGACGGTCGCTTCATGATGCGCCTGCGGTTACCCAACGGCATCATTACGAGCGAGCAGACGCGGTTCCTCGCTGACGTCATCAGCCGTTACGGCGAGGAGGGCGTGGCGGACATCACGACGAGGCAGAACTGGCAGATCCGCGGGGTGACTCTTCAGGACACGCCGGACATCATTGAGGGGTTGAACAAGGTACAGTGCGGTGCTGAGGGGTTGGAGGGAGTACGTGGTACTACAGAGGAGGTACAGATCGGTGCTGAGAGGTGGGGGTGGGTAGGTGAGGAGGGCGTTGCTGACATCACGAGGCAGAACTGGCAAATCCGCGGAGTGAGTCTGCAGGGCACCCCAGAGATTATCGAGGGGCTGAAAAGGGTACAGTGCGGTGCTGGGCGTTTGGAATGAGAATTATGTGGGACGACAGAGGAGAACGTGGCGGACATCACGACGTGGCAGAACTGGCAGATCTGCCGAGTGACTCTGCAGGACACGTTGGATATTATCGAGGGGTTGAAAAAGGTCAAGGGCGGTGCGGGAGGGTTGTTCTCAATACAGCCGCCTCCCTTAACTTGCCGCTCTTAAAGCCATCTCCCCCCCTCTTCCCTCTTCATCGTGTCGTTCTCCTCCTTCTCAGGTCAACCTTCGATTCATCCAGAGCGGAATGGACAATGCGCGCAACGTGGTGGGCAACCCACTGGCGGGGATCGACCCCCTCGAGATCATCGACACACGCCCCTTCTGCCAAGCCATCGATGACGTCATCACGGGCAATGGGGTGGGCAACAGGGCTCTGTCCAACCTGTGAGTGTCCCTGTGTGTTTGTGAGTTGACTTTTGAGTCGACTCAAAAATCAACACGGCTCTGCCCAACCTGTGAGTCCCTGTGTGTGTGAGTTTGTGTGTGAGTTATGTGCAAAAGACGGCACAAAAAGATGGCCGCTGTTATACAGTGCGTAGAAAGACGGCACGCTTTCTTCCATTTTCCAAGGGCGCACTTTCCACCCCTTTTCCCCCCCCACTCTCTCCCCCCTTTCTTCCCCCCAATTGCAGCCCTCGCAAGTGGAACGACAGTGTGGTGGGCTCACTCGACCTCTTCGAGCATCCCTTCTCTCCCCTCTGGCTTTTCCAATTTATAACCGTCCCACTTTCCCCTCATCCCGAACCTCTATTTCTCCCCCCAACGCAGCCCACGCAAGTGGAACGCCAGTGTGGTGGGTTCACACGACCTATTCGAGCATCCCCACATCAACGATCTCGCATTCATGCCGGCCCTCCGCCGAACCTCGGACGGAGGTTCGGATGGGGAGATGGGGTTCGAGATGCACGTGGGAGGGTTCTTCAGCAGCAAGCGGTGCGAGGAGGCAATTCCGATGGACGCGTGGGTGCCAGCTCAGCCTGCTGACGTGGCGGCTGCCAGCAGGGCAGTGCTGGAGGCGTTCCGGGACCTTGGGAGCCGCAGCAACCGGCAAAAGACGAGGATGATGTACCTTATAGAGGATCTGGTGAGTTGGCTGATAGGGGAACTGATGAGCGTGCTTATAGAGAGGCTAGTGAGTGGGCTTATAGATGGGCGGGTGAGTAGCCTTAATAAGGAGCTGATAAGTTCCTTATAGAGGAGCGGGTGAGTAGCGTTCTATATGAGCTGATATGTTCCTTATAGACTAGCAGTGATCTAGTAGTCGCAGCTAAACAGTGCTCTCCACCTTTTCCTCACTTGCCCCCCCTCCCTTCTCTCGTCAGGGCATGGAGGTGTTCAGAGCTGAGGTGGAGAAGCGCATGCCCAATGGCCACCTGCCACGTGTCAGCTCCACCTCTCATCTCACCACCAACGGTAGCGCCACCACCACCAACGGAAACGGCAGCTCCACCGCCAGCAGCATCAACGGCACCACCGGCACCAGCAGCACTACTGTCATTCCCACAGTCCAGTCCCTGATTGATCCATCCTGGTCCCGAAGGTCCTACCTAGGGGTGCATCCCCAGAAGCAGCCTGGGCTGGTCTATGTGGGCCTGCACGTGCCTGTGGGCCGGGTTCACCCATCGACCCTGCACGAGCTCGCGCGATTGGCCGAGGAGTACGGCTCGGGGGAGGTTCGGCTGACTGTGGAGCAGAACGTGATTATACCGAACGTGCCTGAGGGGAGGGTGGCGGATCTGCTGAAAGAACCGCTAATGGTCGGTGGGAGTGGAGAGGTGGCAACGGGGGGAGAGAAAAGGGAGGGAGAGGCGGGGGCGGAGGAGGGGAAGGGGGAAGTGGGGAAAGGCGAGGGATTGTATGGGTTGAGTGCGCAGCCGGGGAATCTGATGGGGTCCCTGGTGGCGTGCACTGGTAACCAGTTCTGCGGACAGGCCATCATTGAAACCAAGCAGAGGGCGTTGCAGGTGAGAGGTGCATTGCGGTTGGGAGGGGCTGTAAGGGTTTCTATATGGTTGAGTCTGATGGGGTCATTGGTGCACTGGTAACCAGTTCTGCGGACAGGCCATCATTGAAACGAATCAGAGGGCGCTGCAGGTGAGGGGGGGGGCGATCAAACGGGGGTAAACGGGGTAGTGCAGGTCAGGTTGCTTGCTTGCTTCTCATCATGTCCCAGATTTTCATGCTCTTACTCCCTCTCCATGTTTCTTCTCTTTGCTTCAGGTCACGCGACAGCTGGAAGAAACTTTGAATCTGCCCGAGCCAGTGAGGATCCACTGGACCGGCTGCCCGAACTCTTGTGGGCAGGTGAGTTTGGCAAGCTTTTACCTGGTCTACGGAACTAAGTATTATGCATGCATCTCAAGCTAATTCCATTCTCTTCTTACTTTCGTTTGGGCTGCACATTCAATGGTAACTCTTGAACATAGGTACAAGTGGCAGACATCGGGCTGATGGGATGCATGGCAAGAGATGAAAACAAGAAGCCCGTGGAAGGAGTCGACATCTATCTGGGCGGCAGAATCGGATCTGATTCTCACCTGGGGCAGGTGCACAAGGCAGGTGTACCCTGTAAGGACCTGGTACCTGTTCTTCAGGATATACTTGTGGAGAGGTTTGGTGCAACTAGAAAGTAATGAGAGAGCATTACTCTTCAGGACCTGCTGTGCTGCAGGCTGCCTGCTGCCTGAGTGAAAGAGAATCACACCTGCTGCAGATGCTTGTTCACTTTGTTTGAAGAAAACATGTATTTGTATATGTTGGCATTGTAGTTGTTTCTCAAAAGTTAATCCTTCGCTAGTCAGCTAATTAGTGATGAATGGAGGGCCTGTACATGATACATGGGTCTACTCAATTGGGAATGCAGGACATGTCATGTGACTCACGCCCACAATATGTATTATTATTAGTGTAGCTTCTTCTGTATTCCCATGGTGCTGCTTATATGGCGTAACCTATGGGAATATGGAGGTCTTGTACACCTCTTGCTGCCAATCTGAATCGCTCATCGGAATTCGAGGTGACGCATCCGTTTTGCCCGGGACGACGCGGGGGGATGACGGTCAACCGAGCGTCAGGGCAGCCAACTCCCTCGCGTGGGTCCCCCGCCAGGCTGGCGCGGGGCGGGCCTCTGCCCACGCCCCCCGCCCCGGCCCCCCCACCCCCAATTCCTACAGAACCCCACGTTGCAGCCGAGGGGTGGCGAACTCGCGCGTGAGCGACGAGGGGCCTAGTTACCCCTTCACGGAGGCGGACATTCGCTTCGCGTTGCCCGCGAGGCCCTAGTAACCCTCTCGGGCTGCCCTCGCCGGGCAGGCGGGTTGGTTGCGAAATTCAAAGGGCCCGACCCCACCCTCGTCAACATCGCTGGCCCCTCGGGAGGGGACACGTGGCTCGCCCTCGCCACCCCGACCACCCCCACGCACGGCCCACACAAACCACCCACCTCCGCCCCTCCGAACCCCGCCCTCGAGGGCATGCCCGGTACGGGCCGAAGCCGGAGGCTCGCCCTCGGCCACGACGACCTGCCTCGTCCGCCGAGCTGCATACTAGGCGACCGACGGCCCACGCCCTTTTCTTGATGGGGGGTCCCACTCCATCCGTCATTTCTCCTTTCCAACTTCGCTTTCCGATTTCCTCTGCCTCCCTGTCAGCTCTCCGCGCTCCTCCCCAAACCTTCCGTGATACCGACCGTGGTGTTAGCATGGCGACCAGTAGGATAGCACTTCCTGCGACTGAATTCCCCCTCCACGTGCCAGTGGGCATCAGTGGGTACGGGGTGACGCTTGAGATGAAGGACTACGAAGTCCTTCGCGACGAGAAGGCCGAGTTCACAGAACCTTGCTTCGACCTCGGCCTTGCGTGAGCGTGCATCCCTAGGTCGCGTTGTTCGTCCTTGTCCTGCGCGTTTTCGTCGGCGTCCTTTCTAGGTCGACGTTGGCCTTGTCGTTTTTCCGCGTGGTCGACGATGTCCGTCTGCGATGGACGTTTTGGAGCTGCGTCGTCCTATTAACTAGTTTGCCTGTCCTCGACCATTGGCCCTACGTCGGTGACGTGCGTCATGCTGCCGGCGACATCGCCGTCGTGCGAAACCTTGGTCCGAGTCCGCTTGTCTTGCTGTCCGCGCTTTACCCCGGCGCCCGGCATGGATTGTAGCTCACCGCGCAAGTGTTTCGCTCCCGCCTTTTCGCCCCCGGTTGTCCCAGGTACGAGCTCGATCGTCTGGGAAAAGGCGACAGGATGATCCTGATCCGCGGTGCGAGTCTTCGCGCTGCCAGGACGGCGTCGAAGGCGGACCATCTGATTTTCGGGTCGGCCTTCGGCTTCGAAGCCCTCGCCATCCCCCTGTGCACCAGGTGAGTGTTCCGCGCCCGTGAGGTTTGATCCACGCCGACAGCGTTGCTTGTTGTTCCCAGAAAGAACCCTGAATGTCTCCGTCGTGCTTGTGTGGGCAGTGGCGGACCTCTTCCCGGCAGGCACTGCAGCGTCCTGCTTGTTGTGCGCCCTGGCGACCTGCTTTTGCCCGACGAGGAGGAGATCGGGACGTTCTACCGCCACCTCAACCCCAAAACCTCCTCCAAGCGGCACGAGGAGGAGGCAGCCAACGTTCTAAGGTGGGACAACGTCGACGGCTAGTCGCGCCGCTCCTTAACGGCGTTCATGCCGCTTTGTCTGATGGCTCTTTTCCGTCTCGTAGCGGAGGTTTTTCGGCGAATGCGTGAAGGCGGAGTTGAACCGTGGGGGAAGGCAGTGGACGGCTGCGCCTCCTTCCGCCAAAGTCCTCTCCGAACGTCTGGAGAGTCTTTCCGCCCCCATCCGTGATGTGAGTTTCCAACGTCCATGTCGCCTTGTCGCCTGGGCTATCGTCGTCCAGGCGTCGACTCACCCTTTTCGTCGGCGCCATGTGCTTCGGATGTTGATGCAGAAATTGCCCGACATCCTCAACGAGGAGGTCGCCGGCACGGGGCTGTTGGCGGTCAACGCGTTCGCGTGGTCGTTGGAGCATCTGGACGACGTGCATCGCAGCTACGATCCGCTCATCGTCGAGAACCCGAAGATGGTCGGCTTGAAGGCGCTCCGACTAGAGCTGCTGCACCACGCGGAGAAGGCCACGTCGAACAAAGGGGAGGCGGCTTCGACCGTGGCCCGTGGCGTCGGAACCGCCATCGCTCTGGGTGGGGAGGAGGAGCACGAGAGGGAGGACGTCGAGGGGGGCGGGGAGCACGACGGTGGCTCGGAAGAAGAGGAGGACGTGGAGCGTGAGGAGGACGACGTGGCAGTCACCGGCGAAGAGGAGGTAGTACAGTTCGCCGGTGAGAAGGTTGCGGATAAGAGCGGCGGCAGTGGACCCAATTTGGGCAAGAAGGCCCGGGGCAGCAGTGGCTCGACCCCGACTAGGATGGCGTCAAAGGCGGCTATCGAGCGTTTGAAGGCGGCGGAGAGGGAGATCAAGAAGCTGAGGGAGGAGAAGCTGGTGGCGGAAAAGAGGCTGGAGTTCCAGACGGCCCGGAACGACACGATGTACGGCGTGGTCACCTCGGCCGTGAACAAGCTCACTACAGACGCCGAGGGCGTGACCCATCTCGAGCAGACGTCGGGGAGGAGCATCCAAACGGCGGTGGACGCTATGAGGGCGGTCGTGCAGGAGGCGGTGAGCTATCGCGGCTCCACCCTAGAATTCATGAACACGCAGTGGCTGCCCACCGTGCAGGCCCTGCACTTGACGGCTACTGCTGCACAGGGTAGGCGACGGGAGGACGACCTCCTGCTGCTTCGAGGTGTGGCAGATGCTCTTGGCCAGAAGATCAAAACAGTCGTGTCTGCCGAGGTGAGGGCTGCCATGGAGGGCAAGGCGCAGCGGATCGCCGCTGCCGTGACTGCGAAGGTCGTTCAAGAGTTTAGGGACGACCTGGTGAAGGCGGTCACCTCCGCGACCCAACAGGGCATTGGCACCGCCGGGTTTAGCCTCCTCCCAACTGCTCTCGCGTCGGTGATGCACGGCGGTCGCGCAACCGCCGAGGAGAGTGGGCCGGCCCCAAGGCAGTCGGGGAAAAGGGTCGCCGACGAGAAATCCCTGACCGAGGACCAGACCAGCGGCTCTAAGCGAAGCAGAGGACCTGCGATGAAACGCGGTGTGGGCGTGGATCCTCCTGCCCCTTCGTATGTTCGTATCCCCGGCGTCCACGACTTGCTGAAAGATGGACTTGGCGCGCGACCGAGCGAAGATTTTCGACAGGTCGCCGTCGCGCTCCAGGATCCTCAGTCGGTGGTCGGGAAGACCGGTGGGCAGCCCGTGGGGGACAAGCAGCCACAGGCCCCGACCGATCCGCCGAGCGCACACGACGCGCCACCGAGCTGCGACCAGGTGAGTCTGGCCAACGAGCTCATGGGAGAGGCATCCGTGGTCGCGAAGCAGGGCTGGCAGCCAACGGCGGAACAGCATCCACACCCCGAGGCCAGTACGGCGACTGCACAAGGCGCTCGACCGAGCGGCGGCACGGCCCAGATGGCAGACGACATGCACGTCGCAGCGGTGGTCGGCCAGGCGCGCGGGGAGCCCGTTGCGGTCCAGCATGTTCAACCCTCGACGAGTACGCCGACTGCGCGACCGACCGGCGTCACAGCGCAGCTGCCCGACGACCTCCTGTGCCCCGCAGCGGTTGTCGGACAGCAGGGCGGGCCGCCCGGTGCGGGTCAGCATCTTCACCCGCCGACGAGCACGCCGACCGCACAAGACGCGCGTCCGGCTGGCGTCACGGCGCTGGTAGACGAGCTCTTGCGCCCAGCAGCGGTGGTCGGACAGCAGAGCGGGCCGCCAGGTACGGGCCAGAATCCCCCCACCGCGACGAGTCCGGCTGGCGCCACGGCGCTGGTCGACGAGCTCTTGCGCCCAGCAGCGGTGGTCGGACAGCATGTCCAGCAGGCTGCCGGTGCGGCCAGCTTACCCGTTCATGGGGCCATGGTCGCCGCGGAACCGATCCCGATCCCAACGGCTGTTGAGTCTCGGGCGGTCGAGGCTCTAGTCAGTCAAAAGCCATCGTTCGACGAGTATCTGAAATGGCTCGAGGATGAGGGTCAGAAAACCCCGGTAATTCCTCCGACTCACAGCAACCAGGCAGTCGACCAAGGAGCAGAGGCAGCGAACGTCGCGGCGGCGACTGCAGGGCTGAGTGGCTCAACGGTGGAGGCGGCTGTGTGGAGAGCGGCGGAAGAGGCCGGCGGGGTGGACGAAGAGATCCTCGCCAGCATCGTGATGCCGGACCCGGTAATTGAGGTCATGCGGGAAAAACTTCAAGCAGCAGCTCCCACCGTGGGAGCGCAACAGGGTGCACCAGCCGCCTCGACTGCTCCTGCGGAGGACCATAGCGCGCCTGGCGCCAAATCCCCCCCGGCCACAACCGGTGAGGTCGGCGATGGGAAGCAGAAGCGCAAGGGCAAGGACAAGGCGAAGGGCGGCCCGGCGAAGGTCGGCTCTTCCAAGGGGACGTCCAAAGCGGCCGCGCAGGGTCGGAAGGGTTCAGGCGTCCGCATTGACCCTTCAAATGGGCTGGCCGTCTCGGAGATGAAGTTTGGGAAGAAGAGCCGTTACATCTGCCGGTCGATGGACAAGTCCGAGGCCGCCTACTGCATCGCTGTCGCCGTTTCATCGTTCGACGGCTTCGTCAGCAACGTGGTTCTCGAGGAGTTCGGTGGGGTCAAGGAGGAAGTGATGGCGCAGTATAAGGCGGACTGGAATGTGGCGCGATTGATTCCGGGGGGCATGTGGATGGTCATGTGGAGCCGAGGGGCGAACGTCTTCCGCGACAGGTAAGCTTGGCGAATGCTCAATTTGGTGCTCGTTTCGGTCGGTTCGCGTGGGGCGGTCGGTGACGGTGGGTATTCCTGCTGTGTTTCGCAGGTTCCAACAGTTGGTCGCGGAATACAACAGGATAACCGGAGCCGACCGCGCAGCTCTCATGTTGGCTCTTCGCCCGGCGGTGTGGTTCGGCGACCTTCCGGAGTCGACCGAGCCCGAGAAGGCCGCGAAGAAGAAGGTGGCGAGCGACATGATCGCACGCGTTTCGATGTGTGCCGCCTTCGCACCGGTGGCCGCGAAAGTGACGCCCATTCCGGGCGTCGGGTCGGAGCGGTTGTCCGAGATCCTCGCTGGTACTGCGGCCGCGGTGTGGTGTTTTTCGGAGACCAATGCCACGGCGGAAGTAGCGGCCAGCGAAGGGGGGGCGGCAGCGACCATGCGCGGAGCGTCCAACGTGTTCGCGAGTCGGTGTCGGACCGTCATCGAGGCGGTGCTTCAGCGGGCGGCCTCCCGGGTGGTCGTCGTAGGGGAGGACGCCGAAACGGTGACGAAGGACCTGCAGGCGGCTGTGGTGAGGTCGCTGCCTGAGGTCGGAGAGGAGCGCAAGCACGACGAGCTGATCGCCCGTGTCATGATAGAGAACCTCGCCTTCTGGGGGGACTGCAATGTCGGAGGCCCGAAGCTCAAGGCTCGCGGCGTCGATTTGCCTATCGACCCCCAGATGAAGATTATCATTCGGGACAGGGGGGCGAGGGGGCAGCAACACAAAGGGAAGCAGGTCGCCGACGCCTAGGTCGACGAAGGCTGGCCCGCCTGCTCGTAGCATGGTCGGCATGGGTGCAAACGCTGCAGGCTTTCTGACAAAGACCTACGAACGCTGGCCCGACCGCTCGTGACATAGTCGACGTGTCCGGTTTCGGGTGCTGTTTTGTTGTTTTGTTGTGCCTCTCCGGCTTAGGGATGCTGAACTTGTTCGTCGGTAGTTTTTCAGAAACGTTGTGAAGTAGGTTTTGTGGTGTGGAGTCAGTTTGATGCATGAACAAGAGACAAACTTCTACTAATTTACAAGTCGAAACAACGTTGGCAGTAAAAGAAAACCATATAGGTGTGGAAACAAAGAACGAGAATGGAATGACTATGAACGAAGTGAGTACAAATAGGAAACCCTAATTGGGTTGTACCCCCTATGGGATACCCCACTATAGCCTACAGAAACAAGTAAGCTATAAGTTCTGACACACCCCCATAGGCAAAGTGGGGGAGAACAAGGGGTCACAAGACCAGTCAAGCAAAGCAAAGCAAAGCTCAGGGTGGATCACAAAGTCACCACGCATTCCGAGCACAAGTTCAAAGGCCACAAGGCCAGTTCACATGCAAGATCATATATAGAGATATACAAAAAACAAGAGTATATATATGCGAAAGTACAAGCAAGGTCAAGAGGAGAGCAAGTGAGGCAAGACAGGCACAAGACCCAACTGCGTGCAGCAACGCTGATGATCACAAGGCGCAAGTGCCTTGGTGAAGACATCAGCAGTGTTGGCCTCAGAGGCCACGTACGCAAGTCGCAGCTGTCCACGCTGCTGTAGCTCACGAGCAAGAAAGTAACGAAGAGCAATGTGCTTCGTTCTGTGCTCCAGTCGCTGCTCTCGACACAAGGCCAGCATGGCCTTGTTGTCTACGTACAGGACTGGAGGAGAACGAGGCTGCTCTCCAAGGTCGGTCAGCAGGTAGGTGAGCCAGCGTAACTCCTGTGCAGCCATAGCCCCAGCGTAGATCTCAGCCTCACAACTGGAGCCGAGAACAGAAGACGAGCGGGTAGCCCGCCACGAGACAGAGCCGGAACCAAGGCTGAAGGTGTAACCCTGTGACGACCGCTGCGTAGCCTGGTCGTCAGCCCAAGAAGCGTCTGCGTGCCCAGTGAGGACCACTGGACTGCGCCCTCCAAGCACTAGCCCCATGCCCGACGTACTGCACAAGTAGCGCAACACCCTCTTCGCTGCAGCCATGTGCTCTGGTCGGTGTCTCCCAGGAGCAACATAGCGTGCGAGAATGCTAAGAGGGTATGCAAGGTCAGGTCGTGTGCAGGTCATCAGGTAAATGAGGCAGCCAACAAGCTCTGGATACGGGCCACTCGACTCTACGGACTCATCCGAAGGCAGAGCTCAGAGCGAGTGGCGAGTAGGCAGAAGAGTGGCCTGAGGCGAGGAGTACGTGAAGCCGAAGCGCTGAAGGACCTGCTGCACCATGTGTGACTGAGTCAGGGTAATGGTGCGGCGTGCTCTGTCCCGGGTGATCTGCAAGCCAAGGTAGCTGCGCAGTTCACCCAGGTCAGTGCACGTGTGTCTCTTCTGCAGCTCGGACTTCACGTAGGCGAGTCCAGCAGTGTCAGCTGTGGCAAAGACCAAGTCGTCGACGTACACGAGGATGTAGAACGGCGGCAGAGAGGTGTCGGTGCGCAGAAACAGCGACGGGTCGACAGTGGAAGGAGCAAACCCAAGTGCCGCCAGTGTAGTCCTCAGTGTGTCGTGCCACTCACGTGGCGCCTGGCGGAGACCGTAGACTGGACGCCGGAGACTCCACTGGGTACCAGGAGGGAAAGACCCAGTGAAGCCAGGTGGGCGACGCAGCCAGATCTCCTCGTGCAGGCTGCCCTGCAAGAAAGCTGTGCTGAAGTCGAGAGAGTGCAGCTCGTAGTCACGGTGAGCAGCAACGTGTAGCAGAACCCGAAGAGTGGTCATCTTCGGGGTGGGGGAGAAGGTCTGAAAGTAGTCAACCCCCTGCCGCTGACTGAAGCCACGAGCCACGTAACGCGCCTTGAAGACAGGCGGAGAACCCGGCGGCCGCTTCACCCTGAAAATCCACATGCCACTGACGATGTTCGCCCCAGGAGGGGGAACAGCGTCAACGTAGGTGCCTGTGGACTTCCAGGAAGCCATCTCTGCATCCATAGCTGCCTGCCACTGAGAGGAGTAGGGACCCTCTATCGCCTCCGCGTAAGAGCGCGGAGTCGGGATGTCTGGTGCATCCGGGTCTCCCTCAGGGGCTAGCAGTACAGACGCGAGACGAGGTGAAGCGGCGGCCAGACACTGGAACTCCTCCTGCCTGTCCTCAAGGACGTCCGTGCCAAGGGCACACTCACCCCCGACGGACGGAGGACAGGCGGACTCAGACTCAGTGACAAGACGAGCAGCGTAGTCTAGACGACAGCGCGCAGCAAAGTCGACAAGCTCAGTGACAAGGGCAGACGCAGCAGACGACTCGAAGGAGGGGTCAGTGACAGCAGTAGCCAGGAGACGCGTGACAGTAGGACTGGCAGCACGAAGGGCGTTCGACGCCGGGTCGGCAAGAGCAGGAAGAGAGGAAGCAGGAGGAGAAGGCAAAGGGGCACGCAGAGGAGCAGTGGACGGACGCAGGGACATCCGGTGCGTGCCAGGGACAGGAGGAGGACGCTGACGCGACCCGCGACCACTAGCGCGCTCAGTACGAACAGGCGACACAGGACGAGACGCAGGCTCACGACGCTCAGTAAGACCTCCAGTCGGACCAGCGTAGGGAGAAGGAGCAGGCAAAGGGGAGGCAGGCTGTAGCTGTGGCTGTGACCGGACAGGCTGCGGACCCTCTAAGGGAGGAGGAGGAGGTGTAAGACCAAGAACCTGCTGCAGGAGCGGAACGAAGTACGGTCGGGGCCGCGCGGCGACGCTAGAAACAGCAGGAACAGCACCAGCAGCCCCGGCAGGAGCACCCACTCCAGTAGCACCTCCAGCAGCACCACCAGAAGCTCCAGAACCTCCAGCCGCAGCACCAGGAGCACTGTCAGTCGGGCCGCCAACGGCAGGCTCAGCACCAACACCCTCAGTAGGACCAGCTCCAGGAGAACTCTCAGACTCATCAGCTCCAGCACCCACAGTACGAGCGCCGGCGGGGCGCGCAGCAGCAGTACCCTCTGCAGCCGAAGAACCACCAGCACCAGCAGCACGCCTCCAGCGCCCGGCAAACCACTCACGCAGCTCCTGTGGGGAGAGTGGCTCCCGGCGAGACGAAGCACCCCCAGGCACAGCACCTCCAGGCTCAGCACCCCTAGACACAGCACCCCCAGGCACGTCACCCCCAGGCTCACCACCCCCAGGCTCAGCAACCCCAGGCTCAGCACCCCCAGGCTCAGCACCCCCAGGCACAGCACCCCTAGACTCGGCACCTCCAGGCACAGCACCCCCAGGCTCAGCACCCCCAGGCTCAGCACCCCCAGACTCGGCACCTCCAGGCTCAGCATCCCCAGACTCCGCACCCCCAGGCTCAGCTCCCGCAGCAGCACCAGAGTCACCAGTGACCTCGACAGGCTCGACCGCGTCTACCTGGGACACACCTGAAGGGGCAGGACCCTGAGGGGGGAGGGGGACTACCGGGGGGGGACCTGGTACCAAGAAGAGCGGGGGTGGGGGGAGGGACGGAGTGCGGTAGGGGAAGAGGCGGTAGTAGGGTACCGACTCGTCGAACGTGACGTCCTGGGAGGACAGAACACGTCGAGAGGTGGGGTGGTAAAACTGCCACCCAGGGGCGTCGGGGGGGAACCCCAGGAAGACGCAGGGAGAAGCACGAGGGGATAGCTTGTCCGCAGACAGGTCGCGAACAAACGCCCGAGATCCCCAGACTCGGAACGCCGACGCATCGCCAACCTTCCCCGTCCACAGCAGGGCTGGGGAGGTCTCCGGTCGAGAGACCCTGGGGTGGAGGTTGATCTGGTGCGCAGCGTACCTGACCGCAAACGGCCACAGAAAATGGGGAGCAGCCGCATGCATCATGGACGTACGAGCGACGTCCATGACCATGCCAATGCGGCGCTCAGCAATCCCATTCTGCTGCGGTGAGTCCGGAAGCGTGAAGGTCTGACGGATGCCTCGCGCACGACAGTAGGCACTCAGGAGGCCAGAGGAGAACTCTCCGCCTCTGTCCGAGTGCAGACGCAAAACAGGGAAGTCAGAGCCAAAGCTCCTCCGAAGCTGGAGACGAGCTGCGCGGATCCAGTCGATCAACACCGCAGTGACCTCACCCTTGCTGCGCAAGGGGAAGACTGTGGTGTAACGCGAGTAGTCGTCAACCACCAGCAGGAAGTAGCGCTCCTGACCCTGTCCACGGACGCGGGCTGGGCCCCACACATCCATGTGAAGCGTCTGCAACGGGGCCTCTGTCGGAGGAAACTGGGAGGAGTGAGGGGCAGCACGCTGGCGCCCCTCGACACAGGGGACACAGGTGGGGCCAGGGCCCGGAGGAAGGGGAGGGAGAGACCGGGGAAGACCAGACACAAGGACTCGCGAGGCCATGCCTCTGAGCCGAAGCAGAGAGGGGTGGCCAAGGCGGTGGTGCCAGAGGAGGGTCTCGTGAGACAAACGACGGCACGAGCAGGGGGCAGACTCAGGACCAGACCTGGACGCTGCAGCAAACACCTGACCAGACGAAGTGACCCTACCAGACTCAGCACCTGGAGGAGAAGCAGTGGTCAGAGTGTACAGGCTCGACCCTGGCCGACGTGTAAACGTAGCCAGGTGGCGACCTGTATCCGCCTCCGTGCAGTGGGTCACCCGCTGACGAGCAGGGGTGAACTGGTGGACACCCGCATCCTGGAGGTCAGCACCACTCACCAAGTTCGTCGAGAACGAGGGGAGGTAGAGACCAGTCAGGGTGCCAGAGGGGGCCGCCGGACACGGGAGGACAGTGGAGAAGCGAGACAGGACAGGCCCCCCAGAGGGGTCAGCCAGGGACACCGCAACCGGCCGACTCAGCGGCGTGAGAGTGGTGCGGTCCCGAAAGAAGGAGCGAGACGCTCCAGAGTCAAGGGTGAAGGTGTGAGAGGCCGAAACCGACACAGTACCTGAGAGGGCAGACTCACCAGCACCTGAGAGCACAGACGCACTGGCACCTAGAGCAGCAGCCTCACTAGTACCTGACGCGGCAGTACCAATGCCCGGGTCGGGCGGGAAACACCGGTAACAGTCATCCTCATCACTACCAATCGCAGCATACATAGCAGAGAGAATAGCATCAAAATCAAGATCATAAATAGCTACACCAGCCCTAGACAGCTCTCCCCAGCGGGGGATCTCAGCTGCCTCCGGAAACTGCTGACGCCAGGCGTCAGTCAGGCGGCCAAAGCAGCGGCGGGCAGTGTGGGCGCCTCCACACCTCTCCCCTGCACGGTCACCGGTGCGGAGAACGTAGGGGCAAGGACCAAGCGCACCACCACGCTGACGCTGCGAGTACCACTCACGGAGCTGCTGAGGGGCGGGGACGGTGCGAGAGCGCTGCTGCTGCTGTGGCTGCTGCTGCGGCTGCTGCTGCTGTTGCTGCTGGCGCTGACCACCCCCGGAGCTGCTCCGCTGGGACGAGCCACTCCGACCCCCGCCTCCACTGCCACCCCCGCCTCCACCGCCACCCCCGTCTCCACCTCCACCTCCCCCACCAGGACCGTCGCTCCCACCGCTCCCACCGCCTCCTCCGCTACCACCTCCGCCGCCACCTCCGCCTCCACCGCCGCCACCAGTACCTCCACTTCCGCCACCACCCCCACCGCCACCCCCACTCCCCCCGCCACCCCCACCGCCTCCTCCACCGCCCCCTCTAGCTCCACCCGCTCCCTTGCCCCCCTTGCCCTTGCCAGCGCGGCGTCTGCCGCTGGGGGCAGACGCCGCGCCGACCGACTCAAAACCAGTGAGGTCGGCCGCAGCGGCAGAGGCGACAGAGGGCAGCAGGGGGGAAGGACCACACCCCTCAAAGATAGGGGTGCGAGGGTCACCCCGAGAGGCCCCTACAGCGACAATACTCTTCTCAGCCGCTAGCAGGGACTCCTCAAGGAGGTCGACAGTGAGAGTGGTGGGACAGACAGAGAGAAACTGGTCCCTAACGACACGAAGGGACTCAGGGAGACGGGTGACGAGAAAGTAGAGGGTGATGTACATGGGAGGAGGGTTCGCAGCGCGGAACTCAGCAGGAAGGGCAGCGCGGTAGCGGGTGTCACTAGCACGGAGGTGGGTAACGAGGTCAGTGACAGTGGGAAAGGAAGCGAGGTCAGGGAAGAGAAACGGTAGCATGAGGCGGCTAAGGGTAGCGGAGGAAGGGGAGGAGTAGCGAGCAACTACAGCGTCGTACAAGGCCTGAGCGGTCTTGCACTGACTAAAGTGGGCACGCTCAGAGGAAGGGAGGTGGCGACGCACAGCAAGACGTGCAGCAGCATCGCGGGTCGCCCACTTGGAGCGAACGGCAGAGTCAGCATCAGCAGGTGGGGCAGGGACAGCGCCAGAGACAAAGTCAAAGAGAGAGACCTCATCTATCGCATCACACAGTAAGTACAGCTGCAGGTCTTCAATCCAGACGGCAAAGTCAATGGCCCTCCCCTCAGCGTCAAAGGTAAGAACATTGGGGGTGGCCATGACAGCAGCTGAAAATCTCACCGGGCTGGGAGAGGCGGGTAGGTCAGCAGCAGAGGAACAGCAGCACGGCTCCGCAGGCGGCTCGGGCGGCGCGGGCGGCTCGGCGGCGGCTCGGGCGGCGGCTCGGCGGCGGTTCGGCGGCGGCTCGGCGGCGGCTCGGCGGCGGCTCAGGCGGCGGCGGCTCGGCGGCGGCTCGGCTGTCACGGGCGGCTCGGCGGCGGCTCTGGCGGCTCGGCGGCGGCTCGGGCGGCGGCTCGGCGGCGGCTCGGCGACGGCTCGGCGGCGGCTCGGCGGCGGCTCAGGCGGCGGCGGCTGCTGCTGGGCGGATCGGCGGGGCCGCGTAGCAGAGTGGCGGCGGGGCCGCGACCGAAGAGAGCGGCGGGGCCGCGTAGCAGAGGGCGGCGGGGCCGCGTAGCAGAGGGCGGCGGGGCCGCGTAGCAGAGGGCGGCGGGGCCGCGTAGCAGAGGGCGGCGGGGCCGCGACCGAAGAGAGCGGCGGGGCCGCGTAGCAGGGGGCGGCGGGGCCGCGTAGCAGAGGGCGGCGAGGCCGCGTAGCAGAGGGCGGCGGGGCCGCGATCGAAGGGCGGCGGGGCCGCGTAGCAGAGGGCGGCGGGGCCGCGTAGTAGAGGGCGGCGGGGCCGCGTGGCAAAGGGCGGCGGGGCCGCGATCGAAGGGCGGCGGGGCCGCGTAGCAGAGGGCGGCGGGGCCGCGTAGCAGAGGGCGGCGGGGCCGCGTAGCAGAGGGCGGCGGGGCCGCGAGGCAGAGGGCGGCGGGGCCGCGTAGCCGAGGGCGGCGGGGCCGCGATCGAAGGGCGGCGGCGGGGCCGCGTAGCAGAGGGCGGCGGGGCCGCGATCGAAGGGCGGCGGGGCCGCTAGGGAAGGGCGGCGGAGCCGCGAGGGGAAGGGCGGCGCAACGGTCCGCTAGGGGCGACACGACGGGTCGCTAAAAAAAAAACGCGCCTCGGGGCGCGGTTCGGTGGGCCCTAGAAGCAGTCCCTAGGAGGGAACCTGCTCTGATTCCATGTGGAAACAAAGAACGAGAATGGAATGACTATGAACGAAGTGAGTACAAATAGGAAACCCTAATTGGGTTGTACCCCCTATGGGATACCCCACTATAGCCTACAGAAACAAGTAAGCTATAAGTTCTGACAATAGGATCACTAGAACAGGTCGGACACGCTCAGCACACCCCCAGCCCACTCTCAGCCCGCCCTCAGCCCGCCCTCGGCCCGCCCTCAACCCACCCTCAGTCACACCACGCCCAGCCAGTAGCACAAGTCGGACCCAGACGCAGTACCCTCAGCCCGCCCTCTTGCGCTTCCCTGCGCCGATGGCTCCCGCCGTCGCCTCAGCCTCCAAGCCGGCCTTATTGGCCTGCTCATCCCACAAGTCGCCGAAGAGCCTCTTTCCCCAGTCAGCGTCCATGTAGCCCGCCGTGACCACGCCCCACGCAACGGCGAGCTTCCTCGCCAGCGGCTTGTCCAGACCCTTGATGCCGACCGACTTTCCGTCGGCTGTGGTGGGGACCTTGATGGGCGGGGTTGCACGGAGGACCAAGAGCGCGTCGCTGAAAGTGGAAAGCCCCGTTCGCCCCAGGTGGTCGAGTAGCTTGATGACGGCGGCGGTGTCAGCGGCGTCGTCGCTCCGCCGCAAGTCGTGCACCGCTTCCATGATCCGCCTCATCCGGCGAGCGCAGTGCTGCAGCGCATCGTTTTTCCCCGTCTCACCCACCTCGGTCGTGGGACGAGAGCTCTTCGCCGACGCGGCGGGTTTGTCGCCCTTTTCGACCTTGCAGATCATGCGCGTGTGTCTGACGAGGAATCTGTGCTCGTCGTAACGTTCGCGCAACGGATGCGAGTCGAAGTTGGACGGGTTGTTCCACCAGCGCCATGCAGCCTCGATCGTCTTGGATGTGCGCTAGGGATGCACGAAGTTGACCTCGTACGTCAGGTCATCGTTTTGTTCCTTCTCGATCTTGACGGACGCTGCCATCTCGGCGGCGGTCATCGGCCTTGACGGTGCCGGCGCAGTCGGCGTCGGCCGTGCCTCGGCCAGCTTGAGAGCGTTCATCAACTTCGCGATCTCCGCGTCCTTCTCCTCCAACTTCTTCTGCATTTTAAGCTTCTCGATCGCGGCATCCTCCTGAGAAGAATAGAACGAGAATGAAATGACTATGAACGAAGTGAGTACAAATAGGAAACCCTAATTGGGTTGTACCCCCTATGGGATACCCCACTATAGCCTACACAAATAAGTAAGTTATAATGTTCTGACACACCCCCATAGGAAAAGTGGGGGAGAACAAGGGGTCACAAGACCAGTCAAGCAAAGCAAAACAAAGCTCAGGGTGGATCACAAAGTCACCACACATTCCGAGCACAAGTTCAAAGGCCAGAAGGCCAGTCCACATGCAAGATCATATACAGAGATATACAAGAGTCAAGCAAGCAAGGGCAAGAGTATATATAGGTGAAGGTACAAGCAAGGTCAAGAAGTGAGCAAGTGAGGCAAGACAGGCACAAGACCCAGCTGCGTGCAGCAGCGCTGATGATCACAAGGCGCAAGTGCCTTGGTGAAGACATCAGCAGTGTTGGCCTCAGAGGCCACGTACGCAAGTCGCAACTGTCCACGCTGCTGTAGCTCACGAGCAAGAAAGTAGCGGAGAGCAATGTGCTTTGTCCTGTGCTCCAGTCGCTGCTCTCGACACAAGGCCAGCATGGCCTTGTTGTCTACGTACAGGACTGGAGGAGAACGAGGCGGCTCTCCAAGGCCGGTCAGCAGGTAGGTGAACCAGCGAAGCTCCTAGGCAGCCATAGCCCCGGCGTAGATCTCAGCCTCACAACTGGAGCCAAGGACAGAAGACGAGCGGGTAGCCCGCCACGAAACAGAGCTGGAACCAAGGCTGAAGGTGTAACCCTGTGACGACCGCTGCGTAGCCTGGTCGTCAGCCCAAGAAGCGTCTGCGTGCCCAGTGAGGACCACGAGACTGCGCCCTCCAAGCACTAGCCCCATGCCCGACGTACTGCACAAGTAGCGCAACACCCTCTTCGCTGCAGCCATGTGCTCTGGTCGGTGTCTCCCAGAAGCAACATAGCGTGCAAGAATGCTAAGAGGGTATGCAAGGTCAGGTCGTGTGCAGGTCATCAGGTACATGAGGCAGCCAAGAAGCTCTGGGTACGGGCCACTCGACTCTACGGACTCATCCGAAGGCAGAGCTGAGAGCGAGTGGCGAGTAGGCAGAGGAGTGGCCTGAGGCGAGGAGTACATGTAGCCGAAGCGCTGAAGGACCTGCTGCACCATGTGTGACTGAGTCAAGGTAATGGTGCGGCGTGCTCTGTCCCGGGTGATCTGCAAGCCAAGGTAGCTGCGCAATTCACCCAGGTCTGTGCACGTGTGTCTCTTCTGCAGCTCGGACTTCACGTAGGTGAGTCCAGCAGTGTCAGCTGTGGCAAAGACCAAGTCGTCGACGTACACGAGGATGTAGAATGGCGGCAGAGAGGTGTCGGTGCGCAGAAAGAGCGACAGGTCGGCAGTAGAAGGAGCAAACCCAAGTGCCGCCAGCGTAGTCCTCAGTGTGTCGTGCCACTCACGTGGTGCCTGGCGGAGACCGTAGACTGGACGCCGGAGACTCCACTGGGTACCAGGAGGGAAAGACCCAGTGAAGTCAGGTGGGCGACGCAGCCAGATCTCCTCGTGCAGGCTGCCCTGCAAGAAAGCTGTGCTGAAGTCGAGAGAGTGCAGCTCGTAGTCACGGTGAGCAGCAACGTGCAGCAGTACCCAAAGAGTGGTCATCTTCGGGGTGGGAGAGAAGGTCTGAAAGTAGTCAACTCCCTGCCGCTGACTGAAGCCACGAGCCACGTAACGCGCCTTGAAGACAGGCGGAGAACCCGGCGGCCGCTTAACCCTGAAGATCCACATGCCACTGACTATGTTCGCCCCAGGAGGGGGAACAGCGTCAACGTAGGTGCCTGTGGACCTCTAGGAAGCCATCTCTGCATCCATAGCTGCCTGCCACTGAGAGGAGTAGGGACCCTCTATCGCCTCCGCGTAAGAGCCCGGAGTCAGGATGTCTAGTGCATCCGGGTCTCCCTCAGGGGCGAGCAGTACAGACGCGAGATGAGGTGAAGCGGCGGCCAGACACTGGAACTCCTCCTGCCTGTCCTCAAGGACGTCCGTGCCAATGGCACACTCACCCCCGACGGACGGAGGACAGGCATACTCAGACTCAGCGACAAGACTAGCAGCGTAGTCTAGACGACAGCGCGCAGCAAAGTCGACGAGCTCAGTGACAAGGGCAGACGCAGCAGAAGACTCGAAAGAAGGGTCAGTGACGGCAGTAGCAAGGAGACGCGTGACAGTAGGACTGGCTGCACGAAGAGAGTCCGACTCCGGGTCGGCAAGAGCAGGAAGAGAGGAAGCAGGAGGAGAAGGCAAAGGGGCACGCAGAGGAGCAGTAGACGGACACAGAGACATCCGGTGCGTGCCAAGGACAGGAGGAGGACGCTGACGCGAACCGCGACCACTAGTGCGCGCAGTACGAACAGGCGACGCAGGACGAGACGCAGGCTCACGACGCTCAGTAAGACCTCCAGTCGGACCAGCGTAGGGAGAAGGAGCAGGCAAAGGGGAGGCAGGCTATAGCTGTGACTGTGACTGGACAGGCTGTGGACCCTCTAAGGGAGGAGGAGAAGGACCAGGAGAAGGTGTAAGACCAAGAACGTGCTGCAGGAGGGGAACGAAGTACGGTCTGGGCCGCGAGGCGACGCCAGAAACAGCAGGGACAACACCAGTACCCCCAGCAGGAGTACCCGCTCCAGTGGCACCTCCAGCAGCACCTCTAGTAGCTCCAAAACCCCCAGGAGCACCTCCAGCGGCACCTCCAGTAGCACCTCCAGTAGCTCCAGAAACTCCAGCAGCACCAGGAGCACTGCCAGCCGGACCGCCAGCAGTAGTCTCAGCGCCAACACGCTCAGCAGCACCAGCTCCAGTAGAACCTGCAAGCCCAGCAGCTCCACTTCTCCCAATACGAGCACCTCCGGGACGCGCGGCAGCAGCACCCTCAGCAGCCGAAGAACCTCCAGCACCAGCAGCACGCCTCCAGCGCCGGGCAAACCACTCACGCAGCTCTTGCGAGGAGAGTGGCTCTCGGCAAGACGAAGCACCCAGAGAACCTCCTGGCAAAGCACCTCCAGTCTCAGTACCCCCAGGCTCAGCACCCCCAGGCTCAGCACCCCCAAGCTCAGCACCCCCAGGCTCAGCACCCCCAGGCTCAGCACCCCCAGGCTCAGCACCCCCAGGCTCAACACCCCTAGGCTCAGCACCCCCAGACTCAGCACCCCCAGGGACAACACCCCTAGTCACAGCACCCCTAGGCTCAGCACCCACAGCAGCACCAGAGTCACCAGTGACCTCGACAGGCTCGACCGCGTCTACCTAGGACACACCTGAAGGGGCAGGACCCTGAGGGGGAAGGGGGTCGACCGAGGGGGGACCTGGTACCAAGAAGAGCGGGGGTGGGGGGAGGGACGGAGTGCGGTAGGGGAAGAGGCGGTAGTAGGGTACCGACTCGTCGAACGTGACGTCCTGGGAGGACAGAACACGGCGAGAGGTGGGGTGGTAGAACTGCCACCCAGGGGCGTCAGGGGGGAACCCCAGGAAGACGCAGGGAGCAGCGCGAGGGGACAGCTTGTCCGCAGACAAGTCGCGGACAAACGCCCGAGATCCCCAGACCCTGAACGCCGACGCATCGCCAACCTTCCCCGTCCACAGCAGGGCTGGGGAGGTCTCCGGCCTGGAGACCCTGGGGTGGAGGTTGATCTGATGCGCCACGTACCTGACCGCAAACGGCCACAGAAAATGAGGGGCAGCCGCATGCATCATGGACGTACGAGCGACGTCCATGACCATGCCAATGCGGCGCTCTGCAATCCCATTTTGCTGCGGTGAGTCCGGAAGCGTGAAGGTCTGACGAATGCCTCGCGCACGACAGTAGGCACACAGAAGGCAAGAGGAGAACTCTCCGCCTCTGTCCGAGTGCAGACGCAACACAGGAAAGTCCGAGCCAAATCTCTGCCTGAGCTGGAGACGAGCTGCGCGGATCCAGTCGATCAGCACCCTAGTGACATCACCCTTGCTGCGCAAGGGGAAGACTGTGGTGTAACGCGAGTAGTCGTCAACCACCAACAGGAAGTAGCGCTCGTGACCGAGTCCACGGACGCAGGTAGGGCCCCACACGTCCATGTGAAGCGTCTGCAACGGAGCCTCCGTCGGAGGAAATTGGGAGGAGTGAGGGGCAGCACGCTGTCGCTTCTCGACACAGGGGACACAGGCAGGGCCAGGGCCCTGAGGAAGGGGAGGGAGGGACCGGGGAAGACCAGACACAATAAGACAGGAGGCCATGCCTCTGAGCCGAAGCAGAGAGGGGTGACCCAGGCGGTTGTGCCAGAGGAGAGTCTCGTGAGACAGGCGACGACACGAACAGGGGGCAGACTCAGGACCAGACCTGGACGCTGCAGCAAACACCTGACCTGACGAAGGGACCCTACCAGACTCAGGAACTGGAGGAGAAGCAGTGGTCAGTGTGTACAGGCTCGACCCTGGCTGACGTGTAAACGTAGCCAGGTGACGACCTGTGCTAGCCTCTCTGCAATGCGTCACTCGCTGACGAGCAGGGGTGAACTGGTGGACTCCCGCATCCTGTAGGTCAGCACCACTCACCAAGTTCGTAGAGAACGAGGGGAGGTAGAGACAAGATAGGGTGCCAGAGGGAGCCGCCGGACACGGGAGGACTGTGGAGAAGCGAGACAGAACAGGACCCCCAGAGGGGTCAGCCAGGGACACCGCAACCGGCCGACTAAGAGGCGTGAGGGTGGTGCGGTCCCGACAGAAGGAGCGAGACGCTCCAGAGTCAAGGGTGAAGGTGTGGGAGGCCGAAGCCGAAGCAGTACTTGAGAGCGCAGACTCACTAGTACCTGAGAGAGCAGCCTCACCAGTACCTGAGAGCACAGACGCACTGGCACCTAGAGCAGCAGTACCAATGCCCGGGTCGGGCGGGAAACACCGGTAACAGTTACCCTCATCACTAATGGTCACAGCATACATGGCAGCAAGGATAGCATCAAAGTCAAGATCAAAGATAGCTACACCAGCCCTAGACAGCTCTCCCCAGCGGGGGATCTCCGCGGCCTCCGGGAACTGCTGGCGCCAAGCGTCCGTCAAGCGGCCAAAGCAGCGCTGGGCGGTGTGGGTACCCCCACACTGCTCTCCAGCGCGGTCGCCAGTGCGAAGAACGTAGGTGCAGGGACCAAAACCCCCACCACGCTGACGCTGCGTGTACCACTGACCGAGCTGCTGAGGGGTGGGGATGTCGCGAGAACGCTGCTGCTGCTGCTGGCGCTAACCACCCCCAGTGCTGCTCCGCTGCGAAGTGCCACTTCGACCACCTCCACCACCGCCACCCCCGCCTCCGCCTCCACCGCCTCCGCCTCCGCCTCCACCGCCGCCGCCTCCGCCACCTCCGCTCCCACCACCACCGCCGCCGCTACCCCCGCCTCCACTGCCGCCACTAGCACCCCCACCCCCGCCACCCCCTCCACCACTCCCCCCACTCCCTCCGCCGCCTCCACCTCCACCTCCACCGCCCCCGCTGGCCCCACCCGCTCCCTTGCCCCCCTTGCCCTTGCCAGAGCGGCGTCTCCTGCTAGGGGCAGACGCCGCTCCGACCGACTCAAGACCAACGAGGTCGGCCGCAGCGGCAGAGGCAACAGAGGGCAGGAGATGGGAAGGAGAACACCCCTCAAAGATGGGGGCGCGGGGGTCACCTCGAGAGGCTCCTACAGCGACTATGCTCTTCTCCGCCGCTAGAAGGGCCTTCTCGAGGCTGTCGATTGATAGGGTGGTGGGACAGACCGCGAGGAAGTGGTCCCGGACTACACGAAGGGAGTCAGGGAGGCGAGTGACTAAAAAGTAGAGAGTGATGTACATGGGGGGGGGGTTCTTGGCGCAGAAGTCAGCAGGAAGCGCAGCGCGGTAGCGAGTGTCACTAGTGCGGAGGTGCGTAATGAGATCAGCGACAGTGGGAAAGGCGGCAAGGTCAGGGAAGAGGAAGGGGAGCATGAGGCGGCTCAGTGCAGCAGTGGCAGGGGAGGAGTAGCGCGCAACTACAGCGTCATACAAGGTCTGGGCACTCTTGTACTGGCTAAAGTGCGCGCGCTCAGCGGTAGGCAGGTGGCGATGCACAGCAAGACGTGCAGCAGCATCGCGCGTGGCCCACTGGGAGCGAACAGTGGCGTCAGCATCAGCAGCAGGGGCAGGGACGGCGCCAGAGGTGAGGTCAAAGAGAGAAAGACCGTCTGCCCTATCGCACTGTAAGAACAGCTGCAGGTCGTTGACCCAGACCTCAAAGTCAATGGCGCGACCCTCAGCGTCAAAAGCTAGGACACTAGGGGTAGCCATGACGACAGACTAGCAGTGCAAGCAGTGCGGGAAGGGGTACGCAGTAGCAGTGGAGCTGTGCTCTCCAGACAGGACGGGTCGGGCAGCTCAGCAGCACAGCAACACGGCAACACAGCAGTTCTGCCGGCCCAGTAGCAACAGCAGCCCCACAGGACCTGCAGCTCGGCTCCTCAGGCGGCTCGGGCGGCTCGGGCGGCTCGGGCGGCTCAGGCGGCTCGGGCGGCTCAGGCGGCTCGGGCGGGTTGGGCGGCTCGGGCGGCTCGGGCGGCTCGGGCGGCTCGGGCGCTCGGCGGTACAGGCAGCTCGGGCGGCTCGGGCGGCAAATGTGGCTCGGGCAGCTCGGCTCCTCAGCTGCGTAGGCGGCTCGGGCGGCTCGGGTGACGCGGGTGGCACGGGCGGCTCGGGCGTCGAAGGGCCGGGACAGCGTGGCGCGAGGGCGGCTGGGAGCGGGACCGGGGTGGGCGGCTCACGGGTGGCTCGGGGCCGGGACGGGCGGTTCACGGGCGGCGCACAGGCGGCTCACGGGCGGTTCACGGGTGGCTCGGGGCCGGGACGGGCGGCTCACGGGCGGCTCACGGGCGGCTCACGGGCGGCTCACGGATGGCTCACGGGCGGCTCACGGGTGGCTCACGGGCGGCTCACGGGCGGCTCACGGGCGGCTCACGGGCGGCTCACGGGCGGCGCTTCGGGCTGCTACGGGCGGCGCACGGGCGGCTCACGGGTGGCTCACAGGCGGCTCACGGGCTGCGCTTCGGGCGGCTAAGGGCGGCGTACGGGCGGCACGTGGGCGGTTAAAGGCGGCGCGCGGGCGGAGCGTGGGCGGCCTGAGGCCTGGCAGGCGGCGCGCGGGCGGCTAAGGGCGGCGCGCGGACGGCGCATGGGCGGCCTGGGGCCGGGCGAGCGGCGCGCGGGCTGCTTAGGGCGGCGCGCGGGCTGCTGAGGGCGGCGCGCGGGCTGCTAAGGGCGGCGCGCGGGCTGCACGGGGCCGGGACGGGCGGCGCGCTAGCGTCTAGGGCGGCGCACTTGCGGCGTGAGGCCTGAACGGGCGGCGCGCGGGCGGCTAAGGGCCGGTCGACAGAGGTAAGAGAGAGAGCCCGGAGCGCGCTCCGGGTAAAAAAAAAGTTTGAAGTAGTGGTGGGCCCTAAGCACAGTTCCCACAGGGGAACCTGCTCTGAAACCATGAGAAGAATAGAACGAGAGTGAAATGACTATGAACGAAGTGAGTACAAATAGGAAACCCTAATTGGGTTGTACCCCCTATGGGATACCCCACTATAGCCTACACAAATAAGTAAGTTATAATGTTCTGACACCTCCCTCTGGCGGTGCAGCATCATGGTGAGCTGGTCGACCTGATATTCGGCGTCAACTCGCGCGCTGAATTCCTGCGATCCAAGGGGGATGGTCGGCAAAAGGTGAGGCAATGTGGCAGGACGACTTGTTTTACAGGTCGCCGAAACGCGCACGCCGTACCTCTTGGGGGTTCTCGCTCGGAGTACTGCGCGTCGCGATGGTTTCGAGGTCCACCCGGTTGACGTCCTTGGCCCATTTCTGGAAGTCGGGGTCGCGGCAGAGCTTGGAACTCTGGACGTACGGGTGCCACGGTTCGCGCATCAGCATGCACGCAAGATCCTCGGCAACGATTCGGCGGCCGAACTCGATGAGCGATTGCAGGAAGTGCACCCCGGCCGTATTGGGCTCTCTCGCGGATGCGCACCTTACCGCCTGCGAGTCGAACACAAACACAAACACAATCAGCCGTCGGTAGAATGTCGTCGTGGAAATGGTCGGCGGGCTGTCGGCGTTTTTGCCGTCCGAAATGCTCACCTTGGCCAGTTCCGCTTCCGCCCACGGAAAGATGTGCTGGGCGATGAGGGCCACCACCTTGTCGTCGGGCTTCACCATGCTCCGGCCGAGGTGGTAGTCGCCGCGCTTGCCCGTGTAGCCGTCCTTTCTCAACACCGCCGCCTTCGGGATGGTCGTGATGTAGCTCTTCGCGAGCTTGTCGAGCGCCCATTGGCCCAAGTCGGCGATGTCAGATCGCGGAACGCCGTCGTCGGCCAGCTCCTGTGCCCCACCCGCCCGGGCGGCGTGGGTGTTGCGCGTGATGAAGATCTTGTTCGTCCGCCACATCTCTTTCGTGATCCGAGAATGTGATGAAGCCGGCAGCTCTTTTTGTGCCTTGTCGTTCCGAGCATGAAAGAGGTGCTTGTGATACCAGCTGTACGGAGTTGTGAAGTCGAGGGGCGGCACACATCGAGAGGTGGGCGAGCGGCTCAGCTGGTCGTACACGAAGTGCAGCCACAACAGTGTGTGACCGACGGCGCACATCTCTTGCTCCAAGTGTCTCGCCGCGTAGCTGTGATGCAGACGAGCATTCTTGTTCGTCTTGGAGTTTCGTGACGCGACGACCATGACATTCGGCCGTCGCGTGGAGTGCTCGGGCGACGCGTTCCCCATTCTGTACAAAAACAGGTCGGGGAGCTCGATCGCTCGGAGACTGCCTCCGCGGAGAAGGGTGTGGTGACCCAAGAGGGTCATCGTCTTCATCAGCAGAAACTTCCACAGTGTCTGGGAGGGGGTGGCTGCCTTGGGTTCGTACGCCCGAGCTGCCCAGGTTGGCAAGACCTTGAACATGAGGTGGCGGATCTGGTCGGTGGTGTACGTGTCGCCGAGCGTTCCGCGGTGCCGGTCGACGCAATCCCTGCACATCAGTTTCCACGAGGACTGGGTTAGCTGGGCGAACCGGGAAACAGGCGTGAACCGCGCGGGACGACTTGCCGACTTACCTGTCGTCCCTGTGCCACTTCTCTCTGACCATCGCGCGCACCTCCGAGCGGACCTCGGAGATGTCGTACATGATGTGGAGCTCCTTCACCCCGAAGAGCGTCCCCTCGACCTTGCAGGCCGTCTGGAGCGCTTTGATGCGGATGAGCAGCATCGAAACGGTTGTCGGCTTCAGGGGCTGGACACGGACGTCGGGATTCAGCTCCTCGAGCTCCTCGGCCTTTGCAATACCTTCCTGCCTCGCGATTGACAGAATGTACGCCCTGATCCGCGTGGCGTTGACGCGGGGACCGTGCATCCATTGTAGGTCGCCCTTGGCGGTGTGCCACTTATCACCCATGTCTTCGTCGATGTACCTCCCTATCTCGTCCTCGTGTTCCAGCACGCCGTCCCCCTTGACTCTGGCGGTTTGCTGTCTTGGAAGGTTCGCGCAGCACCATCTCCTGAAGTCGAGCAGCGCCCGCAGGTACTGAATCCGGGTCGTTCTCGCCTCCAGCGTGTCCAGATGCCGGAAACCCCACATCATCCTCAGCAATTTGTTCTTCTTGGCGAGCTCTTTGTTGATGTCGAAGGCGGCTTCCGCAAAATCGTCGCGCGGAATGTTTTGCAGGAAGGCGTCATCGTTCTCGTCGGCTGCCAACAAGTCCTCTACGGTCATATATATGTAGTCGTTTTCTGGAAATGGTCCAATTGGAGGCGGCTGCTCCGTGACCGAACGCGGCGAGTACCGGTCCGGCTCGGGTTTGGGAGCCCCTTTCGTCCCTGGCGGTAGGGGGATGGTCGGGTCGGCGGGAATTTTTGCCCTAGCGGCATCTACGCCGACCACCATGTCGGCGGGAATATTTGCCCTAGCGGTGTGTACATCTTCCTCCATGAAAGGCTCGTTCAGGTCGGGAATCGCGCTGCTCCCCGCCGGCGGCGCGACGCCAGCCATCTCGGCGGGTAGAGTTGTTCCTGTCGGCCTCTAGTTGTCGCCGCGATCTCGCTGCGGTACGTGCTCAGCCCACCAAAGTCGATACTGCACAATCGCTGACGTGTATTGCCTTCGCACCGTGGCCCTAAAGGCCGCCCGTCTTTCGGCCCTCTCAACGTTCTCGGCGATCGTCAACTCCGCTGCAATGTCGGTCAGTTCGGGAATTTCGGGAAGTAAGGGCGGCGGATTGGTGTTCTGCTGGGTGATGTTCGGAGTGGCCGTGGTCGGCGGCACAATGGTCGGCGGGGTGTGAAGTGGCAATGTATCGTTCGGCGGGGTGTTGTCCGGCGGGATGTTGTTAGACTGGTCCCTGACCATTGGAGGCCGCACGGGGGATCACCGGCGATGACAATACTGGTTGTGGGTTTGAAGAAAGAGGTCGGCGACTTTCGGTTGTTGTCGACCTAGTTAGTCGTCCTAGTCGGAATGATCCTAAGTCGGAAGCCCGTAAAGTTTGCCGACCTAAACGCACTCTACACCGGCGTGGCTCGTCGTCGACCCTGCACCACGCGTGGTCGGTCGGTCTCCGAGAAGCGTGAAAATGAGCAAGGGAAATGTGGCTCACCAGAATGGAAATGAATGCAACGCAACAAACAAGTGTCGAAATGCCATGGACACTTGGTCGTCAAGGGGTCATAGCATAGAGAGGCACAGTCGCGGTTCGGGCGGACAGGTGTTGGCGGGCGATCCGTGGGCATGTCTCCAACTCTGCATGCAAGGCAGAACGGCACGGCGGCGCAATGGTCGACGTTGCACGGGGCACTCATGTCTTTTTCGCAGCCGACTGTCCGGTGTTCCCGTCACGGTGAACCGTGCTTACACGTCGGCATGACGCAGCAGTGCTCATGGCGTCGCCCGACGATGGTATCCCGCGGGGACGTTCCCGCCAGCAGGCCGGCGAAGGCTTGATCGCCGCGTGGACAGACGTTTGCCGATCGATGTTCGCCGCGTGGAATGTTGTGTTTCGGATGGGCGACGTGTGGCTCTGCGCGCCAGCGCAGTGGTCGGCCAGAAATCGCGGTGGGCCTCACGTCGCAGTCCGCGCCGATGGCTAGGTGGACGTCGTGGCACGCTGACCGCGACCGGCGTCGTCGAGGTGTCGACCTCGTACGGAGGGTCCGTTGAGAGGTGCTATTTGTTGAAATGAACTGCTGCTGCTGCTCGCGTGGCATCAGGGTGGCGGGAAAAATTTCACGTGGCGAAAATTTTCGCCACAGTTTCCCCGTCAGCCAAAATTCGAATCTGCAAAGGGCATCTACCAACATTACCCATTCGCCACTTCATCATCCTTATCTCCAGTCAGCAAGGCACACTTCCATTTTCACCCAATACAAATCCTTCAATCCTCCACCTCATCTCTTCTCCAATCCTCCTCAACTTTCTCATCCCAAACTCCACCAATCAATCCAAAGATTCCCTACCAAGCCTTAAATCAAAGCCCCATTCATTCGTATCACCAAGCCTTAATTTCAAGGCCACATTCATCCCACTCACCAAGCCTTAATTTCAAGGCCACATTCATCCCACTCACCAAGCCTTAACTTCAAGGCCACATTCACCACCCCCACCTTATCCAACTTAACCAATCACAGTCATTCATCTCCTCCTCTCCTTCATCCAACCTCAAGCTCCACCAAATAAAAAGAAACAAAGGGTCCACCCCATTTCAACTCATACTTTTCAAGCAATTTTTACCCAAGCTCTCAACAAGTTCTACTCTAAGCTCTCTCAAGGCCACTTCAAAGTCCTCCTCCTCATGCCCAACTCCTAAGGCTCCACTCATCACCTCAACCTCTCCCAACCCAAGCTCATAGCCATGTTCTCCAACTCTAGAGAAGCTTACGCTTCATAGTCTTTCTACTAGATTGTAAATCAATGGTTGCTCTTCAAGTCCATCATGTACCTCCTTTGGACTAGTGCATTTTAAGTTTTAAGACCTCAACATCAACTTTGACTTTCTTCTAATCAAGACTCAAGTTTCTCCTTCTCCATTCAACAATCAACATCTACTACTCAACAATCAAGCTTGGATCTCACTCTCCTTTCAACAATCAAGATTCACAATTCAAGCTTGGCTTCTTCAAGTTACAAAGCTTCTTCAAAATGACAAGTAAGAGTCTTTAAGGTAAGTCACCTCCTTTCACTCTTGTCAAGCTTCTCAATTCAAGCTTCCCTATTTAAAGCTTTTTCATTTTTATCAAATCTCATTTCTTATTAAATCTTAGTTGTCATTATCAAGTTTGTTTAATTTTCAAGCTCCTTTACCTTTTCATCAATCACCCATTCAATACCTTTCTTTCAATCAATTGTTCTTTCCCTTTAATGTTTTCATCATCTTCCTTTCAAGTTGTTATTTTTCTCTTTAACCTTATTATTTAAAGCCTTCAAATTCTTACTTAATCTCTTCTTAAAGAGTTTCTTTATCTCATCAAATTTGTCTTACTTCACTCTTAACTCTTTCTTCTAGGTGTTTTTCTTTCTCTCTACTTGCTATTTACCCTTCCTAATCCTTTACTTCAATTTTCAAGTCTATAGGGGTATCCCTTTCCCGAGCCGCGTCGTTTTTGCACCCGGATGTAGTCGGGGCGTTGAGATATACCATGCTGGACACCTCAACCCATAAGCTTCAGGTGACCAACCAGATTCACGTGGAGCCAAATAGGTTTGACATGCGTCTCGAGGTAAGCAAATAGGTTTGGACACACCTGAGAATCTATCCAATCGGGAAGAAGCAACGTGACACCACCGCGGGCAGCACAAGGTCAGGTCGGATCCAGCACAGCACCATCTCGCTGAAGCCTAGCTCGCGCGCGCCGCAGAGAAACAAACACAACCGCGACTCGGTCGCTCTGTCTCCCTTTTCCTCTCCCTACCTCCTCAGTCACCTCACATAAATGTTCGAACCCTAACATTTTCTTCCAACATCAAGCATTGCAACTTCTCCTAGTGAGCAATTAGAAGAGAGAAAACTCAATTCGACTGTACGTTAGTCCTTATCTGTATTGTAATTCCCTACGACTAAGCGCACACCCTCGCTTCTCACTCCTCTCCTAGGTTTCCAGAATGGCTAGAGCCGCGCTTCTCGCCTTGTCCCTGGCGCTGCTGCTCGCAGTCGCCCGCGCTGGCAGCCCACTGACGAGCGCCACCGCAAACGAGAAACCCGACCCGAGCAGCAAGAAGGACGACGGGCTCATGACCGAAATCCCGGCGGATATCGCGAAGCAGGCCGCGTCGGGCAACGCGGCGGGAGTTACCTACGTGGATACCGCGCAGGATTCGTTCTTCATGGCTGATGTGAAGAAGGCGGGGTGGAACGCGCAGAAATGCCCCCCTGGATTGAACAAGGAGCTTGCGGGGGCATGCACGCCGAAAAATTGCTCCAAGGGAGGTATCCCCGCTAAGTGGAAAACCGCTTATCTGCAAAAGAACAAGCTCGGTTACGAGCTGTACGTGCCGGGCAACCCGCTGACGTTGCTCAAGGCGAACCCCGCGTCGTGCTGCAATACCTGCGCCGCAACCCCGCTCTGCACGTACTGGCAGTACATTCCCGATATTACTATTGACGGGAAGAAGGGCAAGGGCGCGTGCTATTTGATCCACGACCAGATTGATTTCACCTGCGGAGAGATGACTGCACAGTATTCGACGGAAACGAAGCCGGTGAATCTTCAGGTGCGCATCGGCGGAGAGTGCAACCCTAGCGCAAAGATCCTCAACGACCCGCACTTGGTCGGCGCGCACGGCACACATTTCGACTTCAACGGCCGCCCCGACAAGGCGTTCTGCCTGCTCACGGACCACGATCTTCACGTGAACATGCTGCTGAGGGGGTACTATGACGAGCGCACCGATAATGCCGCGCTTGTTGTCGACGGAAAGGCGGTGCACACGTGGATTAAGGAGCTCGGGATCGTCTGGACTGCCCAGGGCGCGGACCACAAGATTCGGCTCGCGGCGCGCGGCGGCAAGCAGCAGGAGCGCGGCGACGGGTTCATGAAGAACATCGAGATTGACGGCGAGGAGATCCCGAGGATGAAGGTTGGCGACACGGTGACGAGCGACGGCGGGCTGACGGTTCACTTCCGCGGGCTCGAGAAGGAAGGGCCGTTCGATGTGGATTACTACATGCTAACGATCGACGGTCTAATTTCGTTGGATCTGCGCCTGCGCGTCGCGCACCCGAAGCTGCAGACCCCGACCGACGCCGAGGCGCATATCAACGTCGGGATTGCCGAGTTGGAGCACACGGAGGATATCCATGGTGTGTTGGGGCAGACGTACCGCGCGGATCATACCCAGCGCGCTTCGGATTTCCAACGGTTGATCGCGAGCCTGCACCGTCCGATTTCGGCTGACGCTGCGGAGGGGAAGGGGTTCTTGGATGGTACACCCAGGTCGTATGAGGCGAGTGATGTGCTTGCTGTGGACTGCGCTTATACCGCGTATGGCCGCGCCAGGAACGTTATGCCTGTGCAACGGTTCCCGTAAAGGATTGCCTCGGTGACAGCTTTTATACTTGTATTGTACAGTGGGCTGCTCTGGGTACTAGGTTTATAGACAAAAGGGCTGATTTGTTCATTCTTTGGACAATGTCGACATGGAATGAGAAACTGCTCATCTACTGACTTTTGATTGCATCATTTGACATCCAGAAACAACGTGGTTCATCTCTCCAACAGAGCATCTCACTTGATAATGACAGCCATAGGCCATATCACCCACCCATCAATTCTACCTAAAATCTACCGTACCCTGCTTGACTAGATTTATCCTTTATGCTGACCTAGCTGAACGCATTGCAGTAACATGTAACTGAAGCTTGGTGGTGCTGCAACAGGTTGTAACAGGGGAAACTACTGGTATGACAGGAGAAGGTAGGAGGACAGAAATGCTGGGGCAGGTTGTAGTACAATGTAACACTGATGAAGGAGGTTACAGCACAGAGACAGGGGCAGGCTGCAATGCAGCAACAGGAGCAGCTTGTAATGAGGTCACAATTGCAGTACCAGCAGGCGAGGGCGTTTGAGACTCAAACGAGGCATGCATTAGCGGCACACCAGCACCTCCTTCCACAGCACCTGTTACAGAGTTCAGCAGCAATGGAGGTGGAACAGAGGCGTCTGGAGCTGATGCTGCCGCTGCGGCTGCTGCTGCCGCTGCTTGGGATGCGCATGCTACAGAAGGGGCAGCGGCAGCAGCAGCAGCAGCGGGGACCGCAAAAGAGGGAGCAGTGGCGAAGGGGGCAGAAGGGACAGCAGTGGGGGCAGTGGGGACAGCGGGGGCAGAGAGGGCAGAGGGGTCAGTGGGGAAAGAGAGGGGGTTGGTTGCGGTTGTGTGGGTTGGGGGATATGCGGGAGGCTCTTGGGTCATGGCTGACTCGGGGGGGGGATTGGCGGCAGTGGTTGGTACAGGTGTCTGGGCTGGCGCAGGAACAGCTGCAGCGGAAAGGTGAAGCGCCTGCCCCTGCGCCTGTGATGCTTGCGCCTGCGCTGCCTGCGCGGAAGCTTCTAGCTCGCGCTGCAGCCCCGAAAGCTCCTGCTGCGCTACAAGCAGCTCCGTTTGCAGATGAACGACGTGCTGCTGCAGTAACGAAATCGCGCTCACGCAGCCGTACACCGGGTCCTGAACTCGCGCCTCCGCCTCGTACGCCATGCTATTCGCCGCGTCTCCGCGCAGCTCCGGCGGAAGCTCCGCCAGGATCCGCGTGACGTTACTCGCGCCGAACACGCGGTGAACGTTCGCGAATCGCCCCGGCTGGTCCGGCGGGAAGTACGGCGCGAAAACGCACTCCGCCGTGCATTTCCGCCGAAGGAACTTGCACGCGGCGCACGGGGACGCGGTTCGACCGTGAGGCGACTCCTCGATTGAAATAGCGGCGGTAGATGCGGCGGAAGAGTCGGAGGCGCCGGCGCTCAAGGAGGAAACGGCGGAAGCCGCCATTGACGCGGCCGACGAAGCTGCTGCTGGCGCTCGTGCTTCAACAGGGGAGGTTTCGTGAGTACTAGCATCCATAACCGAAAAGAGCCTCTCCTGTTGCTCCGCTTGCCTGTTGCCCCGCTCGCCTGCTGCTCCGCTCGCCTGCTGCTCCGCTCGCCTGCTGATCCGCTCGCCTGCTGCTCCGCTCGTCTGCTGCTCCGCTCGTCTGCTGCTCCGCTCGTCTGCTGCTCCGCTCACCTCCTGCCCTGCTCGTCTGCCCCTCCGTTCGCCTGCTGTTCGTTGAAAGTCCAAGCGCCTCACCCGTTTCTCCGCTCCTGTTTCTCCGCTCGCTCGTTTCTCCGCTCGCCCGTTTCTCCGGTCGCTGTTTCTCCGCTCGCCCGTTTCTCCGCTCGCCCGTTTCTCCGCTCCCGTTTCTACGCTCCTGTTTCTCCGCTCGCCCGTTTCTACGCTCCTATTTCTCCGCTCGCCCGTTTCTACGCTCCTGTTTCTCCGCTCGCCCGTTTCTACGCTCCTTTTCTCCGCTCGCCCGTTTCTACGCTCCTTTTCTCCGCTCGCCCGTTTCTCCGCTCCTGCTTCTCCGCTCGCCTGTTTCTCCGCTTGCCTGCTCTCCGCTCGTTCTGCTGCTCCTTGAAAATCCAGAAGTGGGCGGCTCCACCGACGCAGACTGACTATGCAACAGGTTAAAAATCTACTTAACCTTCGCCTTTCAAAACTCCAAAAGGAGTTACCCTTTCAAAAAACTAAAATAAATACTCGAATTACAATTGGGGATGCGGTTGCTAAGGCGTCTCAGTCAGTGAAACTTCCAGCTGTTTATGAGAGTGGTGTTCTCGTCGCGACCATTCGCCATGTCGTCACTCGGCGCTCCTCCGCGATTCGGAGCTCTTAATCAGTGCAGAGGTGTCGACTAAGGCGACTTAAACGATGTGTTTTGAGGCGCCTCGAATCGCGTCGCTCGGCGCTCCTCCGCGAGACGGAGCTCCCAAACAGCCCAGCGGTTTCAACTATAGCAATTGACGGAGTGTCGCAAATATTATTGCAACGCGTCTTTGCTTCTAGGCAACGCAGCAGTTTGCTACTGCCACAGGGAAGCTCCTAACGGATCACAGAAGGCCCAACAACTGGAGGTTTTAACTAAGGTGGAGCTTGCAGGAAGTGTCAAAATGTGTCCAAATCCGTCCGGTAAAAGCGGAACGAAGGCCCTGGTGGCCGCAGGAGGCGGAGCGATAGGCAGGATTATTAAGGCTTAATGCCTACGGAAGTGTGGCGGATAAAACTCCCGCGCAACCCTCATTGGCAGGGAAAGCCAGCCGTGGAAATCGTTTTCCTGTGAACTGAAGGGGAAAGCAGATGCGTTGTGAGGGGATAAGGGGGTTTGGATTTAGCTGGTTTTGGGAAGAAACGGGGCTGGGATGGGCTGGAATGGGCTCTGCTAGTTTGAGAAAGGGTAAGTGGGTGTGGAAGGACGATTGTTTGGGGTCTGCTCGACGTGGAACTGAAATGCGTGACGAGCAGTTTCGCGAGTAGGGATCATGCGGTCTGGTCTGAATGGGATACTGTTGGGAAGTTGACGGATTGGCTGGTGAGTACAGATGGCGTGTCGTGGGCAGTTCAATGTACAAGTGGCGGAACGTTTTCCGCGATAACGTGACGTCAGTTCATGTACAGTAGTACAGCATTTGCACAAAAGGGAGAACACGGGCTGCCCGAGTTCGAGTGTGAGCCTCAGGCTGAATATTCTTCTGTAAAGGGTTAAGGAAATACGGATTATTGGCCTCTATACGGTATATTGACCTTGATGTTTTCCTTTGTTTGACAGGAATGTGAGAGAGAGAGAGAGAGAGAAAAAAAAAGGGATTTGGTTCTCCTTGACTGACCAAGTCAGCGGTGCCAGGAGAAGCACTGAATCGCCAGGCCAGCGAAGCGGATGAGAAAAAGGCGCCTCCCAGTCGTGTGGAAGACAGCTGACCAATAACGTTATCCAGAAGCTGGTTTGGCGTGCGTGGGAATCAGGTGGCAATGACGTGCCAGCCGTCTTTCACAAGAAGGTCGAAAGACGTGGAGATTTGAGATTGGTGAAGACACACTTCTGGACGTTCGGCTGAAGTCATGTTGGGAAGCCACCCCAGGAATACAGGAAATGTTAACGAATTGTAGCAGTTGTGGCAGAACTTAGTTGGTGCCGTTGCTGTGCTTGTATTCCTTGGATCAGGGGACAGCCTACCAGAGCGTGTTTCAATTGTGCAATACCCTACCACACCGCTCGAGAATTTTGTGTGGATGTGCGAATCTTCGCTACAAGATCTTAGCTCACTTGCTAGGTAGCGCTGATAGGGATGTGGCTTGCGTACATGGGTAATCAGAATTTGACACATTACAATACCACACAGCTATAAAAGACATTCAACAGAGCCCGCAAGTGTTCCTGATTGAACACCATGTCCTCAAGTGAGAAAGCGTGAAGAAAAATGCATTTACTCTCAGTAGCAATAACAACATTGACCCACTAGGTGTAAAGAAATATAGGAAAGCATACGTTTTAAAGATGTGTGCGCCCCTATCTCTTATATATCTACACCGCAATAGGTTGTACTGCCAGCACTGATCTCACCGAATGCACCCCGTCTGTCCACGTCAGACTGCCAAACGAAAACGCGCCTGTCGCAGCTGTCGGGCGTAGGGTAACCGTAAACGCTTGCGACTTGCCCGGGCCAATCACGAAGCTCGTCGGACGCACTGTCACGGCGACATTCTTCGGAGCAACCACTGCAGCAGAATACCTAGACTGCTTCCCGCTCACATTAATCACACTTCGATAAACCGACACGGTGCTCCGTAGCTTGGGCACGCAGATGTTCGGCTGGTTGAGATTGAACGGTTGGATTGGCGCCACGTTCCACCGCGGAAACGCCGCCTTGGCTTGAGTTCGATCGATCCCCGTCAGAAACGACAAGTAACCCATCATACCAACATCGTACACCAAACCTGGATCGAGCGCCTTCGCAGGAAAAACGTGGCCCGATCCGTAATTCCAGGGCGACGCCATTCGTCCCTTCGCGGTCCGGATAAACTTCCTCGCCGTGTTAGTCGTATACGCCGTCGTTAGCATCGCGGATTTAATCGCCGCGGGGCTCCAAGTCGGGTATTTCTGCATAAGTATCGCCGCGATTCCCGCTATATGCGGGGCGGCCATGGATGTCCCGGAAAGTGCGCGGAAGGATCCTTCAGAGGAAGACCCCGCGGCCATGGGTCCGAGGAGAGAGACGCCCGGCGCGGTGATGTCGGGCTTTAAGATGGCGTTGGTGACCTTGCTGCTGTCGTAGAAGCCTGCAGCGGGATTGACGGAGGGACCTGCGCCTGAAAAGACGGCCATTTCGGGAGCCACCTGCTTGGGTAGGAAGAGCGCCGAGAGGGTTGCGGTGGGACTGTTTGGGGGGGCGAGAGGGGGGGGGGGAGGGGATGGAAGTGGGGAGTAGAGGGGATTTGGCGGACAGGGGGAGGAGTGGGGAGTAAGTTGGGGGAAGGAGCTGGGCATGGTGGGAGCCACCTGCTTGGGTAGGAAGAGCGCTGAGAGGGTTGCAGTAGGACTGTTTTGGGGGGGAGAGGGGGAGAGAATGGGGGGAAGTGTGAGGAAGTGAAAACGGGGGAGTGGGAAGGGAGGAGGGTCCTGCACCGGGAAAGACGGCCATTCTGGGAGCCACCTGCTTGAGTAGGAAGACCGCTGAGAGGGTTGCGGTGGGATTGTTGGGGTGGAGGAAAGGGGAGAGAGAGTTGGCGGGGGGGAATGGGAAGGGGGGGGAGGAAGAGGTTAGGGGGGTGTATGTTTGGAAAAGAACGTCAAGGCTGGGGGAGAGCAGGGAAAAGATTGACGGCGGGGCCAGCGCCGCCGGTGGGAAAAGACGGGTGGGGGCGACGGTGACTTTTGAGTCGACTCCAAGAGACCTTTGAGGGGAAGCATTAACAAGGTGGTCCTGTGGCGGAGAAGGTGACCATGGCAGGAGCAAGCTGCGAAAGACAAAGCGAGCTGCGAAAGACAGACTGACCTGCTATTCTGCAGGAAGAGTGGCAGGAAGGACTTGCGAATGTACTTCACTTGGGGTTGCTGCGAATGTACTCACTTGGGGGTGCTGCGAATATACTTACTTGGGGGTGCTGCGAATATACTTACTTGGGGGTGCTGCGAATATACTTACTTGGGGGTGCTGCGAATATACTTACTTGGGGGTGCTGCAAATATACTTACTTGGGGGTGCTGCGAATATACTTCACTTGGGGGTGCTGCGAATATACTTACTTGGGGGTGCTGCGAATATACTCGCGAATGGCCTTGCCCTTCCAGAACACAGGGAACAGCCCTGGCAATCCCAAGGCCACGGCCTTCACTGCGCCCTCCCCATTCGCATATGGCACCACAATGATCGCCCGCCCGCCCACCCTCGCCACCTCTGCTGCCTTCTCACTCGCGTAGGAGAATCCCGTGCAGCACACCACGATCTTGCCTCGCACCTGATTGGAGGTTGAAAGAGAGAGCAATGGAAAGAGAGGGTGGGATGAGCATGAGTGTGCGAAGGCTAGTTCTCCACCCTTGCCACCTCCGCTGCCTTGTCGCTCGCGTAGGAGAATCCCGTGCAGCACACCCCGGTCTTGCCCCGCACCTGTGCGGGTTGGTTGAAAGCGGAGGGATGGGGGGAGGTTGGAGTGGAGACGAGTGTGCAAGGATTCCCCACCCTCGCCACCTCCGCTGCATGAATGTTTACAAGTTAATTCCCCACCCTCGCCACCTCCGCTGCCTTCTCGCTCGTGTAGGAGCATCCCTTCAGCACACCACGATCTCCTACGATCGTGATTAACCGTTGCACATCTTGCCCAAAACCTGGCGGGTGGATGGAGAGGAGTGTGAGGGAGGGAGGGAGGGGTGGGAGGAGAGGATGGGATTGTGCATGTTTAGGAAGACAGTTTCGACCCAGATCCCTTGTAGCATAGGAAGATAGTTTCGACCCAGATCCAGCAGAAAATTGTCAATCAAACCTGAGCGTAGAGGAGAGGGTGGGGTTGTGCATGAATAGGAAGATAGTTTCGACCCAGATCCCTTGTAGCATAGGAAATAGTTTCGACCAGATCCAGCAGAAAATTGTCAATCAAACCTGAGCGTAGAGGTGGGGTTGTGCATGAATAGGAAGATTGTTTCGACCCTCCACCAGCAGATCTAACTCGTTCTGATCTCTTCTAGGCTGAGCTTAGGCTAGTAGGGATTGAATAGGTAAGAAATTTGTCATTCAAACCTGAGCGTAGAGGAGAGGATGGGGTTGTGCATGAATGTTTACAAGTTAATTTCCCACCCTTGCCACCTCTGCTGCCTTCTCGCTCGCGTAGGAGAATCCTGCGCAGCACAGCAGCAGCAGATGTCTTGGCATTCACCAAGGCAGCCGGTGCGTGGTGTGGCAGTGCTGCCGCCCAGCAGCAGAGGCAGCGGGTGAAGGGGAGGGATTCTTGGCAGCGGTGGACAGTCATTTTGGAAGACTTTTGAGGCGCCTCAAAAGTCGTCAAAAGTTGTCAAAAGTCGTTTTGAGGCGCCAAAAAAGGGGAGGGATTCTCGGCAGCAGCGGGCAGTCTTTTTGCAAGGGAGTGAGGTGAGGGATTGCCGATGCATACCTTGGAAGGAGAGAGAGAGCGAGTAGGGCACGCAGGCTTCGGCTTGAGAAGCCGTGTACCCGGCAGCAGGAGCGGCTGTCTTGGCAATCTTCAGAGGCAGCCGGCGCGTGGCAGCGCTGCCACTTACCTCCCAGCAGCAGGAAGGCACGCTCCATACACTCCCTCGTGAACCCACCTTGGAGGGCGACGTTTTGAGTCCACTCAGGATGTGATGTGATGTGATGTGATGTGATGTGATGTGATGTGATGTGATGTGATGTGATGTGATGTGATGTGATGTGATGTGATGTGATGTGATGTGATGTGATGTGATGTGTGTGCATATTAGAGAGGCACTCTCCACTCCATACACTCCCTTGTGAACCCACCTTGGAGGCTAAGGAGCTTACCTTGGAGGGCGACAAGGAGTAGGGCACGCAGGCTTCAGCTTGGGAAGCCGTGTAGCCAGCAGCAGCGGATGTCTTGCCGGCCACTAGAGGCAGGTGGCAAGGGGGTATATATGTTGGACGGGAGTGTAAGACAAACGAACCCACCTTGGAGGGCGACAAGGAGTAGGGCACGCAGGCTTCGGCCTGAGAAGCCGTGCACCCGGCAGCAGCGGACGTGTGAGCGGCAGGGAGCGAGTAAGAACCTTGTGACGCCACCCCGGAAGGCAATAGAAGAGTACCTTGGAAGGAGAGAGCGAGTAGGGCACGCAGGCTTCAGCCTGAGAAGCCGTGTACCCGGCAGCAGCGGACGTGTGAGCGGCAGGGAGCGAGTAAGAACCTTGTGACGCCACCCCGGAAGGCAATAGAAGAGTAACTTGGAAGGAGAGAGCGAGTAGGGCACGCAGGCTTCGGCCTGAGAAGCCGTGTACCCGGCAGCAGCGGACGTGTGAGCGGCAGGGAGCGAGTAAGAACCTTGTGACGCCACCCCGGAAGGCAATAGAAGAGTAACTTGGAAGGAGAGAGCGAGTAGGGCACGCAGGCTTCGGCCTGAGAAGCCGTGTACCCGGCAGCAGCGGACGTGTGAGCGGCAGGGAGCGAGTAAGAACCTTGTGACGCCACCCCGGAAGGCAATAGAAGAGTACCTTGGAAGGAGAGAGCGAGTAGGGCACGCAGGCTTCAGCCTGAGAAGCCGTGTACCCGGCAGCAGCGGACGTGTGAGCGGCAGGGAGCGAGTAAGAACCTTGTGACGCCACCCCGGAAGGCAATAGAAGAGTAACTTGGAAGGAGAGAGCGAGTAGGGCACGCAGGCTTCGGCCTGAGAAGCCGTGTACCCGGCAGCAGCGGACGTGTGAGCGGCAGGGAGCGAGTAAGAACCTTGTGACGCCACCCCGGAAGGCAATAGAAGAGTACCTTGGAAGGAGAGAGCGAGTAGGGCACGCAGGCTTTGGCCTGAGAAGCCGTGTACCCGGCAGCAGCGGACGTGTGAGCGGCAGGGAGCGAGTAAGAACCTTGTGCCGCCACCCCGGAAGGCAATAGAAGAGTACCTTGGAAGGAGAGAGCGAGTAGGGCACGCAGGCTTCGGCCTGAGAAGCCGTGTACCCGGCAGTAGCGGCTGTATTGCCATCCACCAGGGGCGGCCGGCGCGTGGCAGTGCTGCCCCCGGCAGAGGCAGCGAATGACGGGTACAGTCCGTTTAAAAGAGGGGAAAACATGCGGGATTCTCAGTGCATACCTTGGAAGGAGAGAGGGAGTAGGGCACGCAGGCTTCGGCTTGAGAAGCCGTGTACCCGGCAGCCGCGGCTGTCTTGCCATCCACCAGAGGCAGGCGGCGCGTGGCAGTGCTGCCGCCCAGGAGTGTCTCCCCCAGGTAGCTCTGCCTGTTGCCCAGCGACAGCCGGGCTTGGGGCGGCCAGGCTTGGCTGGACGTGCTGGGGATGGGAGATAGGGGAGGGAGGCGGGGGAAGGGGGGGAGGTAGAGGAAAAGGGTTGGACAGCGTAGACAGGGAGAGGGCTATTGGGCTAACGACGGGAGATAAGAGGGGAAGTGGGACTGGGCAGCATACACTAGCCTACCTGGCAGCAACACTAGCCTACCTGGCAGCAACACTAGCCTACCTGGCAGCAACACTAGCCTACCTGGCAGCAACACTAGCCTACCTGGCAGCAACACTAGCCTACCTGGCAGCAACGGTGATATAGTAAGGCGAGAGGTTGGTGAGAGTGTGATAAACCCTGCTTGCACACTGCACTGGTCAGCATACCAGCTGCAAACATACCTGGCTGCAACAGTTATGTAGTAAGGCGAGAGGTTGGTGAGCGTGCGATAGAGCTTGGGGCTTGCTGGGGGAGGCCCGCTGTTGCCCGCTACCAGTGACACAAACACCCCTGCCTGCTCGGATGGTAGGGAAGGGTAGAGGGGGCAGGAGAAGGAAGGAGCGGGGTGGGTGTGCTGTTAGTTAGACCTTGGGGTTTGCGGGGGGAGGCCTGCTGTTGACTCCTACCAGTGACAGGAACACCCCTGCCTGCTCGTGGTTACAGGGAGGGTAAAAGGCGTGACTAGGGTGGGGTTGCATAGTTATGTGGGTGGTGCAGATCTTGCTGCTTCCAGGCGAGGTGACTTCTGAGTCGACCCAAAAGTCACCTGGTATGCAGAGTTATGTGGGTGGTGCAGATGTTGCTGCTTCCAGGCGGGTGAGTGCCCGCTGTTGCCCACTACCAATAATGCCACGAACATGGCTGCGCACACATGGCTGCGCACACATGGGTGCGCACACATGGCTGCGCACACATGGCTGCGCACACATGGCTGCGCACACATGGCTGCGCACACATGGCTGCGCACACCCACGCAACTAGTTGGCTCTTTAAGAATTTGCATGGACCAACTACTCCCACTCACCCTCGCCGCCCTCCCACACACCTACTTACCCTCACAGCTTACCCTCTTGAAGCTCCCTCTCTCTCACAGATTACCCTGGCAGCACGCAGCATGGCCAGGTGCTTGAAGCAGGTCTCCTCGTTGATCGCCACCCACATGCTCAGCACATCCACACCCACACCGACAAGCAACGTGTGCTCATCCTCTCATCTCCCACTCCCCACCGACATGCTCAGCGCTCACTTGAGCAACAAGCATGGTTGTACACACCTGCGGAACCAGCTGGCCCCTCAGCTTACCCTCGCTGCCCTGAGCATCGCGAGGTGCTTGAAATACGTCTCCTCATTAATAGCCACCCACATGCTCAGCACATCCACGCCCACACCGACAAGCATGTGTGCTCACCCTCTCATCTCCCACTCACCCTAGCAGCCCTTAACATCGCCAGGTGCTTGAAGTAGGTCTCCTCGTTGATTGCCACTGACATGCTCAGCACATCCACACCGTCCGCCACCGCGCGATCAACGGCTGCAAACACGTCCGAGTCCGATCCAACGGCCAGCTTGCCCTGCACCCAGATGGCCTTGTAGACTGCTATCCGTGCTCTGGGTGCCATGCCACTCGCTGTACCGAACTGCACCCCTCCTCCGGATACTTTCACCGGGTTGCCTGCTGCGGCCCTGATGAGCAACCGGCGAAGGAAGGGGCGAAAGAAAGAGAGGGAAGGAGAGGGCCATTCAACAACCGACGGCCAGCCAGCTTGCCAGCTTGCCCTGCACCCAGATGGCCTTGTAGACGGCTATCCGTGCTCTGGGTGCCATGCCACTCGCTGTTTCGAGCTGCACCGCTCCTCCGGACACCTTCACAGGATTTCCCGCTGCCATGCCCCTGACATACACACTGCCATGCCCCTGCCATACACACTCACATGCCCCATGCACACAAGGCCCCAATGCCCCACATTCAACGTACCCCGCACACCACGTGCCGTGGTCACTGGCGTCCCTGGGAGAGAGATATTCGGTGGAGGGGTCCACAACCCCACCAGACGCCACGAGCCCCTCGGCAAAGTAGCGTGCGCCAATGATCTTCTTGCTGCAGCCCTTGAAGTCGCTCGTGGTCGTGCACTTGCCACGCCAGCGGGGAGGCACGGGGGGGTAGCCCTGGGAGGGAGAAGGGAACGGGTGGAGGAGCAGTGAGGGAGACGATCTTCTTGCTGCAGCTTTTGAAGTCGCTGGTCGTGGTGCACTTGCCTCGCCAGGGCACGGGGGGATAGACCTGCAGAGGGGAGAACGGGGAGGAGGGAGTGGGAGGGAGAATGGGCGGGTGACTGTGTGAGCCAAAAAGTTACCCATATCCACGATCCCAATGATCATGCCCCATAATGACACACGCACGCCATGTTACCATGTCACCACACATGCATACCTTGTCACTGAAGCTGGGGTGTTCAGGCCAGATACCCGTATCCACGATCCTAATGATCATGCCCCGAACAACACACCCACTCCATCTTGCCACTCCATGTTACCAGGACAACACACACAGACACGCATGCACATCTTATCGCTGAAGCTGGGTCGGGCCAGATACCCATATCTACGATCATGCACATCTTATGCACAACCAGAACGCCACGATCACTGTGTCATCTTGTTTGCATGCACGCACACAGACACCCTCGCATATGCACATGCATACCTTATCACTGAAGCTGGAGTGTTCAGGCCAGATACCAGTATCCACGATCCCAATGATCAGGCACATAACGACACATACACCCCAAGTTACCATGTTACCACATTACCGTGTCACCCCACACATCCATACCTTATCGCTGAAGCTGGGGTGTTCAGGCCAGATGCCCGTATCCACGATCCCAATGATCATGCCCCATACTGGTACACCCTCTTCATGTTGCCATGTTACCGTGTTACCACATCACTCACCTTGTCGCTGAAGCTGGGGTGTTCAGGCCAGATGCCCGTATCCACGATCCCAATGATCATGCCGTTGCCCGCCTTGGTCCTCCCGCCCACGCTCGGCCACACGCGAGAGGGCAGCTGCAGGAACTGCGGCGTGTGGATGGTCTGAACAGAGACCGTTTGGGATCTTTCCACCTTGAGAACTGACTCGTGTCGCTGCAAGCGATGGGCCTCTGAACGGGTCAGCTTGATACTCACTCCGTTTAACACGTAGCGGTAGCTGTTTTGGGGGGGAGGGAGGAGGGTGGCAGCACGTTGGGGGAAAGGAAGCAAGGGTGAGAGGGCCGCTGGTCGCGAGGGCATCTGCAGGAACTGCAGCGTGTGGATGGTCTGAACAGAGACCGTTTGGCATCGCTCCACTTTCAGCACCGACTCGTGCCGCTGCAAGCGGTGGGCCTCTGAGCGGGTCAGCTCGACGCTCACTCCGTTCAGCACGTAGCGGTAGCTGTGGGGAGAAGGAAGATAGGCGGGGAATGGAATGAGAGAGGGGGACGGGGAAAGGGAGTGCCGCTGCAAGCGGTGGGCTTCTGTGGGCGTCAGTTTCACGCTCATTCCGGTCAACACATAGTGGGTAGCTGTTTCGGGGTGTTGGGGAGGGGAAAAACCGAAACTTAAAAATACCGAGGCTTGGGATTCCGAACCTCAGGAGCACCGAAACTTGAAAATACCGAGCCTTGGAAACACCGAGCCTTGGGAATACCGAGCCTTGGGAATACCGAACCTTGGGTCCGTCTTGTGCACGATGCGCCCCTTGGGAATATCGACGGCCTGCAGCATGTGCTGCTACACGCCCCAAGCACTGGCAACCTCTCACCACCTTCCCTCCTCCCATTTCCCTCACCTGTGCACCATGAGGCCTTTGAGAATGCAGACCCTTGGGATTACCGAGCTTTGGGAATCCCGAACTTTGAGAACATTCACCTGTGCACGATGCGATTCTTGGGAATACCGACGGCCTGCAGCATGTGCTGCTGCACGCCCCCCACGAACTGCGCGAACGCGCGCACGTCGCTCTCGCGCTCGTCCGCGCGCCTGCTGCCGCGCGGCCCGTCCAGCGCCCCCATCGCCTGCACCGCCGCCGCCGCCGCCGCTGCTCTGCTTGCTGCTGCCCTTGATCTTGCTCGTCTTCCTCCTCCTACTCCTCCTGCTCCTGCTGTTGCGATTGATGCCACTGAAGCGTTTAGAAGTCCTGTTATCGCTTCCCCTGTGCTCCTTGCGCCTCCGCTGCTTGCGCCTGCGGACCTTCCGCCTGCGCCAGCAGCACCATTTGTAGCATACGGGGCCCCTGTAGCATCCGAATCGTATCCAGCCTCCAAGCTCTCCCCAGCATCATCAGCATCATCATCTGTAGCGGCTGTAGCAGCAGAGGCAGTAAGACCGTCGCCTGTAGCAGGAGCGGCTGTAGCAGCAAACCCGGGGATGCCGCCCTTATAGTCTATAACGGACGGCACGTTTCTGAAATACACGATATATAGTTCCTCGCCACTGGGTCGTCTAGTGGACCCCGACGAACCTGACGCTGCTGTATCAGCAGCGGCGGTTGTAGCCGCTGACGTGGCAGAGGTTGTAGCTGCTGACGTGGCAGATAGTTTAGCGGGTTTCTCTGGTTGCCGTCCGGGCACTTCCCATAGTCGAGGCCCCGCTATAGTCACCACTGGTAGCGCGTCCTCGTTATCGTCCGCCCCGTTATTGCGTTGCCAGTTTTGGAAGAGTGAAGCGGAGGCAGCTGCGGTGGAAGCATCGGCGGAAGAGTTCGGGGGAGGGGGCGCGGGGATGGCGGGGAAGAGATATTGCGCGGATGCTGCCGAGGGGCGCGGGTAAGGGAAGAGCGGAGGAGAAGGGGAAGGGGTGGAGGTGAGGGGAGACAAGGAAAAAGTGAGGAAAGGAAGGGAAGAAGGAAAAAGATAATCATAATAATAAACGGGGGTCGGGGGAAGGAGCCAAGGGGGGGATGGGGGACGAGTGATAAGACGCGCGCGCGGAAGCGAGCGTGGCGGTAGGCGGAGGTAGAGACGAAGTGATCGGAAGCGCTTGGGGAGGTGGGGGGAGTGAGGGTAGGCGTTTAGGGGGGACAAGGCGCGCGCGGGGCAAAAAAGCGCACGTGGTGGAAAAGGCGCGCGGGGGGTGAAAAGGGCGCACGCGCACCTGGGGAAGTTGCGGAAAAAGCGGCGATGAGCGCAAGGAGCGCAGCCGTCACCGTGCAGCAAGCGCGTCCGCTATTAACGAAGCTTCCCCAGGCATTGCGGCGGTAGATGAAACCGCGGCAGCGCGCCATTAAGCCTGCCTACAGTCAACCTCGCTACAATATTGAGTCGCTACAATTACGATAGTCCAATCTCGCTACAAGCACACGAGCCCTGGAATTGCTATAAATACCGATCTTGCGGGTCGACACCCGATCAGTGTACTCCCGGTGAGGACATCTTGCAAACGCGAATCTGCTTACAACGAGGACTCCTGGCCTGGCGGGAAACGATTATGAAATGAACGAGGGCTCGTCGTAAAGACGCCGTCTTTGCCTCCTTGACGAACTATATGGTACAGTTAGTTCAATACCGTCGTCGGTCGAGGCGCGGTTGGTATCTTAGAGCTGGCAACAGATCACTATAGTGAGTTATGTACCAACCCGGTCTGCCATGGACGGCTTTTGAGGCACTATTTACCCTGTTGCCTCGAAAGTTTGATCACTAGGAGCTATCTAGCAACCCCTGCTGCCAAGAACACCGCCAGAAACACGGGATTATCTATAGCGGAATTGCACGACTCGTTGAGCTTCACTATGTACTAACAACGTCGCGCCACGGCGTGCGAGTATGTACGACTTGGAGAAGGTACGATCGCCGTACCGCGAATCACGGCGCGAGAGGCGCTCTCGAAGGGGATATGCGGATGGGCAAACGAGTGGAGCTTAGAACTTGCGTACTCTCTCTTCGGCTTGAGCAACCTAGCAAGAACTTGCTTGGACATCGACGATCGGCTGGCTGGATGCCGCTCGATTCCCCACAACCACTCGAACTAGGAAACGCCAGTAAGTACGCTATCACCGAAGAATGGCTGGAGTCGCCAGTCACTGCCCTACCGCTACGTCCTGTATGCGCTAAGGTGCTATCGGTTAGAAGTCGCAACTTCTTTTGATGAGTGAGAGCTGGAAGGTGTGCCGATCTCCCACGCCAACGACGCTGCACCGCAATCGGCGTTTCCTGCGGAGCCACGATGCGAGGAGGCAGGGAAGATGAGGCGGCGTTGTTGAGCTCTGAGTGACTATCGCGCCCCGATGTTCGCTCGAGAGTTGGGTTGGGGCCTTTGGAGAATCACCAATGAGAAGAGATGGAATGCATGTGCCAAGGACGGGTCACAGGAGGGATGTCGGTGTTCGGGTGCCATGGCAGACTGTACCAAGTCGTGAGGTGTGGTGATCATTCAGTTGCTGTGAGCAGCCATGGTCAATGATACAGCCACAAGGACAGAAGCAGACTTCATTCGGTGAGCTCTGCTGAAAAAGTTCAAGGAATTGGAATTTCCAAAGGTTTACTATGTTTCAGAGCGATCCATTTATTGTTTGCGGAGGTAGTTTTAGGTCTTGAGCGGAGATGCTCCATGAAGTGGAGGTGCTTGCGAATTTCGCAACCTCCAAATGTTTCGCAAGCGTCGCAAAACAGTTGAGGCGAAAAGGGGCACTGTATGGTTGCCTGTGCGACGACTGGCGTGGCATGGGCGACCCGTCATGTGGCACGAAGTTTGCGGCGACATGAATTTTCCGAATTCGGCTGCAGCTTCGGCACCACGGCGCGACAACCGCCGACATCAGCTGCAGCTGCTGTAACCCTCTCCGGCTATTAGGGCAGGGTACAAATGTTCTGTCCCGCCCTCGGAAACCGGTGTGCAATATTCGAATGCCTGTGTTCAGCGGTTCCGCACGAAATGGAAGAAGCAAAAAGAGGGTTGTGAGACCAGCACGCGATTACGGTTTTCGTTTTTGACTGCACGAGGCGCTTAAAAGTATTGCATAACTTTGGCGTCACGATAGGGGGAGAAAGCAACGCAACGATTCGTCTCCAACCTTCCCCCGCCTCCACCACCCAAACCGACCGATTTGAACATGTTTCGAAATTCGGCTCGGCTCGGCGGGGACATTCAGCGCTCAAGCAATCATGGCTAGCCACGCTGCCAAGAGTTTTGCTGGCTGGGGTGAGGAACGAGGTCTGTTCGGTGACCGTTGAACTAGCGAAAATATAAATACGCGGTACACGGCACACCTTCACTGTGACTAATGAGTACATTCACAGGATGAGTGGAACTACATATTCTCATCCGCTAAGTACGCTACACTTGACTTCATGGCATGAGCTCACTATACCTGCAACACCCCTATTTCAACCTCATCTGCAACGAACTAAGCCCCTACCGGCGCACATGTGTGCAGGATATGCAACAAGTTACAAGACTGGCGGAAACTTCGTCACAGTCGTCCACCCACGCCAATCTGGCATCCTATCAACCACATACCAGTATATCCGTACACCTCCTTCTGCCTCCCTTAGATTGCAATTGCCAGTTGCTAAACCTACGATCAAAGCTTGTTTTCTAGTCTGCCACCCGCAGCAATCATCTCCTGCCCCTCGTCAGCTCTTCCCAATCGAATCAGTGCAGCAGCTACTAGGTAGGTTGCCTCAGGCCACGGGGGTTTGGACTGCTGGGCCTGAGGGAAGGGGGGGACATGAATAAAGAGCTTTAGTTCAGTGAGATACGATAATGTGATGCTGCATGTGCTGCACCTGTTGCAATTAGATGGGTTGCTTCAGGCCACGCGACCTTGGACTGCTGGGTTCCAATGCAGCTTTCTTGCCCATAACTCCATGTCCATTGGTCCTTATCCGACAAAATATCTCATCCTAACCTGGATGGCATGGTTTGTCCTTACCTGTAGGGCGTCCTGGTAAGCTTCCTCCCAGTGCCCCAGTTGCAGATGCGACAAGCAACGCCGCGCAAACAGCACGGGGATCGGGGGCGAGTCACACTTGAGGAACTGTAGGAGACGAGAGCACAATGCAGGGGTGGAGAGAGGTGGCATGCAGAGAAAGAGGGGTGGAAAGAAGTGGCATGAAGGGCAGGAGGGGTGGAGGGAATGTCATGCATAAAGGGAGAAAGTGAGAGGGAGGGAGGTGTCAAAAGTGAGATGGGATCTTTTGGATCGGAGTTACTTTAGTACAACTTCCTCCCTTTATAATCACAATCACCTTGAAGTAGCACCCAATCGCCTCGTCTCACCGCTTGCTTGTTGCACACTTTTTCTCTTCATAACCACCTTGGTGTCGAGAAAAAAAACCCTTCTACGCTTACCTTGGTGTAGAGAGCAATCGCCTCTTCCCACTGCTGGCTCTCGCCAGATATCTCCCATTTTCTCAGATTTCCACACTTCTGTTCGCCCTTTATCATCACCTTGGTATTGCAGAGAGAAATCCCTTCATAATCACCTTGGAGGTGTAGAGAGAAATCCCTTCATAATCACCTTGGTGTAGAGAGCAATGGCCTCCTCCCACTGCTGGCTCTTGAACGCCTTGTCTCCCCTCTGCCTTGACGACACTAGATCCTGTATTTCGGCATTCCACACCTCAAACGATGGCTGGGGGGGGGAAGGAGCGTGGCAGAGAGGAAGGAAACATGGATGAGTGCTACCAAACTGCCTTGTCTACACCTTGTCTCCCCTCTGCCTGGACAACACTAGATCCTGTATTTTGGCATTCCACACCTCAAACGATGGCTGGGGGGGGAAGCAGAGCAGCAGGGCGGGACACAAGGGGGGAAAGTCGCACAGGAGTTGTCAGAAGGCCCCCTGTCTCCCATCTGCCTGGGCGACACCAGGTCTTGCACCTCAAACGACGGCTGGAAGTGGGGAGAGGGCAAAGGAGGGGTTAGGGACACAAGGGGGGAAACTGCTTTTGAGTAGACTCAAAAGGAGGGGTTAGGGACACAAGGGGGGAAACTGCTTTTGAGTCGACTCAAAAGGAGGGGTTAGGGACACAAGGGGGGAAACTGCTTTTGAGTCGACTCAAAAGGAGGGGTTAGGGACACAAGGGGGGAAACTGCTTTTGAGTCGACTCAAAAGGAGGGGTTAGGGACACAAGGGGGGAAAGACGCACAAGAGTTGTCACAAGGCCTCGTCTCCCATCTGCCTGGACGACACCAGGTCCTGCACCTCAACATTTAACACACCTCAAAGCACGGCTAGAGGGGAGAGGAGCGTGGCAGAGAGAGAGGAAAGTTTGATGAGTGTTACCAGAACGCCTTGTCTATGCCTTGTCGCCCCTCTGCCTGGGCGACACCAGGTCTTGCACCTCAACATTCCACACCTCACGGGACGGCTGGAGAGAGACGAGAGGGGGCAGAGGAACCAGGTGGGATCGAGGTGGGGAGAGAAAAGGGGGTGCATGAGAGTGTCAATACGGCTTGTCCCCCCTTTGCCTGGACGACACTGGGTCTTGCACCTCAACATTCCACACCTCAAACGATGGCCACAGTGAACGCCACAGTGACCAGCCTCCGATGCAGCACCTCCCAGTCCCCTTCCATGGCTGCACGAGGCGACTTGGTGCAGCCTTTCTCAGGAGGGGAACAGACCCATGCGACACACTGCAGTGCAGTGCTCTCACCTCCTGCGGTGGTGTGAAGGACACTGTGACCAGCCTCCGATGCAGCACCTCCCAGTCCCCTTCCATGGCAGCACAGGGCGACTCAATACACACGTCAAAGAGAAGAAAGAACAACCACTGACCTCCTGTGGCGGTGTGAATGACACAGTGACCAGCCTCCGATGCAGCACCTCCCAGTCCCCTTCCATGGCAGCACGGGCCAACGGTGACGCTGCAGCAGCAGTGGCAGCAGAAGCGCCGGCCTCCTCCCTCTCCTCTCCCTCTCCCGCAAGGCCGAGTGAATTGCCGATGCCCTGACAGGGAGATGAGGAAGAGGTGGCACAGAGAAATACAGAGCGGTAAAGATTGGCGGTAAGCGCAGAAATATTCGCCATAGCAGCATGGGCTGACGTCGAGGCTGCAGCAGCCGTAGCAGCAGGAGGAGCGCCGCCCCTCACCTTCTCCTCTCCATCTCCCGCAAGGCCAAGTGAACTGCCGTTGTCCTGCCGGGGGGGGATGAAGAAGAAGTGCCACGGTGAAGGTTGGAACGGTACAGAGCGGTACAGAGCAGCAGGAGAAGGAGCGTTGCCCCCCACCTTCTCCTCTCGATCTCCCGCAAGGCCAAGTGAATTGCCGATGCCCTGCCAGAGGAGATGAGGAACATGTGGCACGGAGTGGTGCAGAGCGGTAGGGAGCGGTGGTAAGAGAACGGTCATTTTGCATTTTACAGACAAGCGACGCTGATACAGAAGCACCGCAAAAAAACCGGCCCCCTCCATCTCCTCTCCCTCTCCCACAAGGCCGAGTGAACCCCCAATGCTCTGACAGGGAGAATGGGGAAGAGGAGAGAGAGTGAAGAATAGAGAGGTACAGAGAGGTACAGGGTGGTGGTACGAGCAGAGACTTTTACTTCAATATCAGAGGCCAGCACAGCAGCAGCAGCAGCAGCAAAACTCATACCACTCCGCACAGCTATGTACTAGTAATACCACTCTAAACCGCACAGCGAACCGTGTAAGACAGCTCTGAGCCCCTCACAACCACACTCACCCTGCTGCGGTCGTCCAGTATCCCAAGAAACTCTGCAATGCTATCCATCGGTGGGCGATCCGCCGGGTCCTTTTTAAGGCACTCGGCAATGAGGGGGACGAGCTCGAGAGCAAATTCCACACTTGGTGCGTGCGAAAGGAGGTTGCTGTCTAGCAGGAGGGATAGATCCTGCTTCTCCTCCACCATCTCCAGGAACTGGTGCGGTGAGATGGGGGCGGGAGGAGAGGGGAAGAGAAGAGGATTGAGCGCGAGGGGAGGTGATGGTATGCAATGAGGGGGACGAGCTCGAGGGTGAATTCGACGCGTGGTGCATGCGAGAGGAGGTTACTGCCGAGGAGCAGGGATAGATCCTGCTTCTCCTCCACCATCTCTAGAAACTGATGTTGTGTGGAGTGGAGAAAGAGGGAGAGTGACGGAAGTAAGAGGCAATGAGGGGGACGAGCTCGAGGGTGAACTCGACGCTTGGTGCATGCCAGAGGAGGTTACTGTCGAGGAGGAGGGATAGATCCTGCTTTTCCTCCACCATCTCTAGAAACTGATGGGGTGAAAGGGGGACGCGGAGGAGAAGGGGAAGGAGACAAGAGGGCGGAGGTGGCGATGGAGGAGGGATTGATGGAAGGGAGGACAAAAGGGGGAGGGCGGGGGAAGGGAACTGTGTGTACTGAACGCTTGCGCACACACGCACATTAGTACGTACCTGTATGTTTTTTGAGAATTCTCAAAAAACATACACTGTGTGTACTGAACGGTCGCGCACACACGGACATTAGTGCCTACCTGTTTTTTGAGAATTATAAAAAAACATACACTGAGTGTACTGAACGCTTGCACACACACGCACATTAGTGCCTGCCTACCTGTGTGGGGCGAATGCTCTTGCCACTAAAGAGAGCCAGGAGGATGAGTCCAAAGCTGTACACCACACTCTCTGCTGTCACCCTCCCTGCAATCACATGATCACGAGGAATGAGAAGGATTGTAACGGAATCACAAGGAGTGTCAAGGAATGACAAGGTGTGACACGATGTAGCACACATTGCAGTTGATAGATAGCCCGCCCGGGTTGGAGAAGCTGTAGCGACTGAGGCGACTCAAAAAACAACCATGCAACAGTGGACGCGCGTAGTTAGTCGCCACCTCATGCCTCACCATGTAACAGCTGCTCAGGAGGTAGATGGTCCAGATTGGAGCTGTAGCGACCGTCCTTGCTGACTTTTGAGTCGACTCAAAAGTCACCTCATGCCTCCTCACCATGTAACAGTTGCTCAGGAGGTAGATGGTCCAGATTGGAGCTGTAGCGACCGTCCTTGCTGACTTTTGAGTCGACTCAAAAGTCACCTCATGCCTCCTCACCATGTAACAGTTGCTCAGGAGGTAGATGGTCCAGATTGGAGCTGTAGCAACCGTCCTTGACAGGTTTTTGAGTCACAGTCAACCCATGCCCCGCAATGCAACAGTCAGGTCGCTCATCGTGAGTAGTGAGTCAGACACCTCATGCCTCACCATGTAACAGCTGCTCAGGAGGTAGATAGTCCAGATTGGAGCTGTAGCGACCGTCCTTGAGAGGCTTGATGAGGCCGAAGCATGAAAGCTTGGGTTCATTGTCCTGCGGTAACCAAAAAGAGGAAGCAACAAGATGTGACTTTTGAGAGTTCTCAAAAGTGACCCCACCATGAAAGCTCGGATGCCCTGATTTGTTTGAGGTTGATTTTGATAATTCTTAAAATCAACCTCTCACATGAAAGCTCGGATGCCCTGCAGTAACAAAAAAGAGGAAGAAGCAGGACAGGATGTGGCGGGTTTTGAGGCGCCTCAAAACTCGTTTAACTTTGCGGAGGTTGATACGAGGAGTTAGAGAGCACTATCTTACAGCGCAACAATTTGTACTCGTTATAAGAACCTCACCTTATCCAGCAGCACTTTGTAAGGGTTAAGGTCATGATACACAGGCATTCCCTTCTCCCTCCCCAGATGCTCCAGTGCTTGCGCCACACGCATGGCCACTGCCAGCCGTGCCAGCCAAGACATAGGGCGTTGCTCCCCTGAGAACAGGCAAGCAGGGTGTGAAATGCGGTGGGGAGGAGTGTCACTGAGTATGCCCTTCTCACGCCCCAGATGCTCCAGTGCTTGCACCACACGCATGGCCACTGCCAGCCGTGCCAGCCAAGACATAGGGCGTTGCTCCCCTGAGATGCAGGAAAAAGAGGGGTGGAGGAAAGGGGGGAGCAGGGTGCAATGGTGTGCGGTGCGGAGGAGCGAAAGTGTGCATGTAATCCCCCCACAGATGCTCCAGTGCTTGCGCCACTTGCACGGCCACTGCCAGTCTGGCCAGCCAGGACATGAGCCGCTGCTCCCCTGAGACATTCCAGGCAAGGGAGAAGTAGAGGATTTGCATGGTGGGGTGGGGTGGGGAGGAGTGTGAGCATATGTACTCCTGCCCCAGATGCTCCAGTGCTTGCACCACATGCACGGCCACTGCCAGCCTGGCTAGCCAGGACATGGGGCGCTGCTCCCCTGAGGTGGAAGGGGCAGGGTAACCCAGGAAGGGGAAAGGAGGGTGTGAATGGGGTGCGCCTGTAGAAGCACTGTTGGTGCGACTTAGAGCTGGCCACTGCCAGCCGTGCTAGCCAGGTCATGGGCCGCTGCTCCCCTGGAACAGCAGACAGGGGGGAAAGCGGAAGGTGGGGGAGGGCGGGGTGGGGGTGGGGGCGAGAGGGGGGGATGTGGAGCGGTGATTGTGGATGCGCTACCTCCCCATATGCTCCTCCCACCGCCAAACAGTTACACGTGGTTTGGTAGGCGGCACAGAACAGCTTCTTACCAAGAAGGCAACAACTGCTTGCAGTTGGGCAGGTGCGGGGTGCAAGTGCAAGTGCAGTTGAGCAGGTGCGGGGTGCAAGTGCAAGTGCAGTTGAGCAGGTGCGGGGTGCAAGTGCAAGTGCAGTTGGGCATGAAGTCAGAGACGAGCAGCCTGTGCTCTCCCTCGCAGCAGAAGCCCAGCAGCTTGCCAAAAGAGCAGCAGAAATAAATCCACTCTCAACATAGGCTGATGTGCTGTTACAGGGCCTTACAATGAATAGGTGCTGAGCAAGCGTGCAGTTGGGCATGAAGTCAGAGACCAGCAGCCGGTGCTCGACCTCGCCCTCACAGCAGAAGCCCAGCCAACTCACACTCGACGTACACCACAACGCTGTTTAGGACTCTCGCACTCTGACATTTAGAGAGTCCTAAACGTGAGTTCGGAGCTGCCTTACAATGAAACAGGTGCTGAGCAAGCGTGCAGTTGGGCATGAAGTCAGAGATGAGCAGCCGGTGCTCGCCCTGACAGCAGAAGCCCAGCAGCGATGTGAGCCCCGGGTAGCGAATGCTGCCCACTGCCGTGGCGTCTGCCTGTTGGGTGTGATGGCGGGTGGGGTGACCGTGAGGGACAAGAGGAGAGGAGAAGAACAAGCGCGGACAGCAGAAGCCCAGCAGCGATGTGAGCCCCGGGTAGCGAATGCTGCCCACTGCCGTGGCGTCTGCCTGTAGGGTGCGGTCGGGTTGGGTTGCGATGGGTTAAGGAACAACAGCAAACCAGTTTGACAAAAGGGTAAGACAGGCAGAAGCCCAGCCAGCGGCGATGTGAGGCCCCCTGTACCGAATGCTGCCCACTGCTGTCCCGTCTACCTGTTGGGTGTGTGTGTGTGAGGGAGGAAAGGGCATGGATGTGAGGAAGACATTACGATGAGGAGAAAGCAGAAGCCCAGTAGTGATGTGAGGCCCCCCCCCTGTACCAAATGCTGCCCACTGCCATGGCGTCTGCCTGTTGGGTGCGTGCATGGGGCGTTGCGCGTGTGGTGGGGACAGGAAGGAGGGAAGTTAGTGAATTGTGAGCCCTAGGTAGCACAAGTGATTCGGCATGGATTGAAACTTCGGGTAGCGAATGCTGCCCACTGCTATGGCGTCTGCCTGTTGGCTGTGTGGTGGGGGAGAGGGATGACAGAAGCAAAAGCCTATTGGATGCGTGGGGTGGGGGGGAACAGGGACGATGGAGGGGAACTGGGGGGGGGGGGGGGGCAGCAGACGCCTTTTGAGTCGACTCAGAGGTCGCTCCTTCCGCAGCAGAAGCCCAGCAGCAATGTGAGTCCTGGGAGGCTGCTCCTTCCACGCTGCTCCACTGTTGTAGCTTCTTCCTGCTGGACGGCCTGTGTCTTCCCCTCCTGCTGTCGAATTTCTCAGGAGGGGAAGGCATAGGCCCAGCAAGCAAGCGGCAATGTGAGTCCTGGGTGGCTGCTCCTTCCACGCTGCTCCACTGCTGTAGCTTCTTCCTGCTGGGTGTCCTCCCATTCCTTCTGGACCTGTGTCACCGAATATGCATGATTATGCATATAAGGTGCCAGAGTATGCGGTGTAGTTATGGTGTAGCAATGTTGAGTGTGCACATTGTAGGGCAGGTAGTTGGGGACCAGGGAAACTGATGCGAGGTGGGTAGGAGAGCACCAAGGGGTGGAATCCAAGGAACCAATGTGAACGAACCAACCCAGGCTCGAGCCGCACATTGAGAAATGCACGGTTCGAGCCTGGGCCAGGTAAATTCACTCTCTCACACACACCCGATGCTTTTCTCTTGTTATTCTCTCATATTAGTGGAGAGTTGTTACCTCAGATCTAGCATCCGGTGGCACGCCACTACGGGAGGACCTACGGGGTGAGGGAGGAAAATCTTTCATAACAAGAGAAAAGCCAGTGCGTGTGTGAGTTATGGACGAGTACGAGCTGCGTTGGGCTCGTCGTGAGGAGGAACGGCCGTGTCAGGGCCGGACGCATGAACGTGGGCGCTCGCTGGAGCGGTCGCCGCGGAGGCCAGCATTCCGCGCGGATCAGATTCCGTTCACGCGTGAACGACGCGGAGGCGGATCAGTTCGCGAAGGCGGAGACGGATCGGGATCTGCCATGACGGGCGGCGATCCGTGGCGGCTTGATGGACGACGAGAAGAGGGAGGCGGCGGACGACGTCGCCGAGATTCGGGAGCGCCAGGCTCGCCGGGAGAAGGGGAGCGCCGTCGCGGTGGAGGAGACCGCGGGAGCACCCTGGAGGACCACGCGGTGTTTGGACGGGGGTATTGCAGCGAAGGAGATAAGGAGATCTCCTGCGCCGACGAGTCAGTGAAGGCGAGGCGCGAGGAAGACGGAACCGAAGTCGACGAGTACGGCGAGGAGCCAAAGCACCAACGTATGGAGGCGGGGACGCGACGCGATCTCCCAGCAGCACCAGGCGCATCGGATCAGGCGCCGGCGCGCGACGAGGCGGAGCAAGGTGAGGCGAATGAAGGAGATCGTTCGTCAGATCAGCGAACAGAGCTTGGCGTCGACAGCCACGGAAAGGATTCGGCGCCTGAGCCACAAGAAAAGCAGGGCGACATGACGTATGAGCGTGCGGAAGAAGATCATCCTCTAGATACGCATCGGCAGGACGAAGGAAGGCGAAAAGAGGGGCCGCATGCATCAGAACTGCATCACATGTGCGGAGGAAAGCGAGGCGACAGGTTATGCTCGCCAGATCTGCATCGGCTGGGAGGGGGAAGGCGAAGTGATGAATTACGCTCGCCAGACCCGCATCGGCCACGTAGAGGAAGGCGTGACGCGTGGTCACCTTCGCCAGGGGTAGAGCGGCAGCATGGAAGCAGCCAGGACGCGCGAGCGAAGGCGAATCATTCGTCAGAGCAGCAGCGGGGGCGAGCGGAGATGCGATATGAAGTGCCCAGGGACGAGTTCTCACCTGATCCGCGTCGGCAGCGCGGAGGAGGGCGGAACGGAGGGTCGCGCTCGCCTGATCCGCGTCGGCAGCGCGGAGGAGGGCGGAACGGAGGGTCGCGCTCGCCTGATCCGCGTCGGCAGCGCAGAGGAGGGCGGAACGGAGGGTCGCGCTCGCCTGATCCGCGTCGGCAGCGCGGAGGAGGGCGGAACGGAGGGTCGCGCTCGCCTGATCCGCGTCGGCAGCGCGGAGGAGGGCGGAACGGAGGGTCGCGCTCGCCTGATCCGCGTCGGCAGCGCAGAGGAGGGCGGAACGGAGGGTCGCGCTCGCCTGATCCGCGTCGGCAGCGCGGAGGAGGGCGGAACGGAGGGTCGCGCTCGCCTGATCCGCGTCGGCAGCGCGGAGGAGGGCGGAACGGAGGGTCGCGCTCGCCTGATCCGCGTCAGCAGCGCGGAGGAGGGCGGAACGGAGGGTCGCGCTCGCCTGTTCCGCGTCGGCAGCGCGGAGGAGGGCGGAACGGAGGGTCGCGCTCGCCTGATCCGCGTCGGCAGCGCAGAGGAGGGCGGAACGGAGGGTCGCGCTCGCCTGATCCGCGTCGGCAGCGCGGAGGAGGGCGGAACGGAGGGTCGCGCTCGCCTGATCCGCGTCGGCAGCGCGGAGGAGGGCGGAACGGAGGGTCGCGCTCGCCTGATCCGCGTCGGCAGCGCGGAGGAGGGCGGAACGGAGGGTCGCGCTCGCCTGATCCGCGTCGGCAGCGCGGAGGAGGGCGGAACGGAGGGTCGCGCTCGCCTGATCCGCGTCGGCAGCGCGGAGGAGGGCGGAACGGAGGGTCGCGCTCGCCTGATCCGCGTCGGCAGCGCGGAGGAGGGCGGAACGGAGGGTCGCGCTCGCCTGATCCGCGTCAGCAGCGCGGAGGAGTGCGGAACGGAGGGTCGTGCTCGCCTGATCCGCGTCGGCAGCGCGGAGGAGGGTGGAACGGAGGGCCGCGCTCGCCTGCTCCGCGTCGGCACCATGATGGGAGGCAGGGAGGCGGGGCGCGCTCGCCTGATGAGCATTGGCAACGAGATAGAAGACGGACTGGCGAGTCTGGCTCGCCTGATCCGCAGCGGCACAACGAGGGAAGGGCAAGGGGCGAGGCACGTTCGCTAGATCTGCAGCGTAAGCAGGGAGGGAGATGGGAGGAGGAGTGGCATCTGCAAGAAAGTCGCCGCGGGCATGGAGGAAGAAGGGACGAGAGATCCCCACCGCCCGAGAGGCACTGGCAGCGCGGAACGCTAAGGGAAGGACGGGCGAGGGCGCATTGCTCGCCAGAGCGGCAGTGGGGGCGAGCAGGAGCACGGATGAGTGCGGAGGACCTGCGAAGCGAGGCGGGACAGGACCAGCGCAGAAGCATAAGGGGAGGCGGCGGTCTGGCGTACAGCACAGAGTGCGCCACAGAGGCAAGGGAAGGAATCGAGAGGGCAAGGGAGAGGGAGTCATCAAGAAGGCAGACGAGAGGACTGATTGAACCATGGGGAGACGGTTGGGGGAGCATAACGATGGCCACGCGAGTGGAAGTGCCGGCGCGATTCTCGGGAGATCAGCACACGGGGCCTACACTTAAGAACTACCTAATGCAAGTGGGGAGTGTGAGGTACAGATGCGAGAGGAGCGGCATGGACTCGGTGGACTTCTTCCTGAGTCTGCCGAATACATTGGAAGGGGAGGCAGAAACGTTGTACAGGATGAAGATGGACGAGCTACTGGAGAAGGCAGGGAGGTATGGGGAAGACCCCACGGAGGCGTTCCTGAGGCGGCTGCAGCGGCAGTTTCCTGGAAATACAGCAGAGCGGATAAGAGAGTTTCAGGATTTCAGGAGGGGGCGGAGCGAGTCGTTGCTCACCTACTACAACAGGCTGATCAATGTGGCGGAGGATGTGACATGCTCAGACATGGGCCTACTCGTTAGCAAATTCCTCGATGGGCTGGACAATACCATGGGGAATGGGCTGCGAATGAAGGTTTACACACTGGGGGCAGACGCGACACTAGATGAGGTGTTTGAGTTAGCGGAGAAGATGGAGCGTGCGCAGAGGAAGTATGAAGCATACCGGCCCCGAACGACAGAGAAGAGCCGAGAACCGACATGGGCAGCAGTAAGGATGGCTGAGGATAGGGGAAGGTCAGAGGGACGAGGGGATGGTAGGGCAGAGAACAGGACCTGCTACAGATGCGGACAGTCGGGGCACGTTAGGAGAGATTGCAAGAACTGTGATTGCTGTGGGAAGCCGGGACACTTGAGGAGAGAGTGCCCAGATCCATCAGGGTGTGAAATCTACAGCAAGAAGGGACGTGAGGCGAAGGACTGCTACCAACGGGAGGGGACAGCAAAGGGGAACCCGGAAGAGCTCAAACGGCTACAAGCACAGCTGCAGGCACTCAGACCAAGGCAGGAAGCGGAGGCAGGAACGAGCGCCAGAGATGGGGATGACAGGGAAGTAGGGCAGGATGTGCAACGCGCGTATATGGCCTGGAGGGGAAGGGAAGAGATGGGACTACGCAGTGGAGGGGAGGACAGCCAGCAGGAGCACCGACAAAAGGGAGGAGAGAAGGGGCAGCAGGCAGAGGAGCCAACTCCAAAGGACGTTGTGGCTCGCCACCCGCCGGACGGGCTAGTAAGCCAGATTTCAGCACTGGTGGTGAGAAATGGGGCGACGGCAATGGAGGGGGAGAAGGACAAGACGGTGATCACAGACACTGGAGCACGGAGTAGGAAGTTGGGGAAGGTCATGGCAGAAGAACTGGGACTGGTAGCACCAGAGAAGCAGCTAGCAAAGGGGATGGTTGTGACGATGGCAGAAACGGGGGAACTTGAGTGGATGGCAAGCACCCATGCTCCGACTGAACTAACACTATTGCCAGGGAAGAAACAGGGGGCACAGAAGGGTATGCCAGCAGTAGCAGAAGCGGAAAGCAAGGCAGAGAGGGTGGGGGCACAGACGTGCACACCAGAAGTAGTAGAACCGGAAGGGAGAGAAGAGAAGGTGAGAACACAGGCGTGTGTACCAGCAGCGGCGGAAGCGGACAGGGAGAACGAGAAGGTGGGGGCATGGGCATGTGCTCCAGTGAGAACGGAAGGGAAAGAAGGGAAGGTGTGGGCACAGGCATGCACATCAGCAGTAGCGAAAGCGGAAAGGAAAGATGAGGGGATGGAGGCACGAGCGTGTATATCAGCAGCAACGGGAGCAGAGGAACGAGACGAGCAGGTGGGGGCAGAAGCTTGTGTATCAGCAGCGATGGCAGAAACGGGAGAACTTGATTGGATGGAAAGCACTCGTGCTCCGACTAAACTGACACCATTGACAGGGAAGAAACAGGGGGCAAGGAAACAGGATGCACAGAGAGTGGCTGAGGCAGGACAGGAACAGAGAAGAGCAAGAACGACAGAAGGAAGGGCAGATGGCTGGCAATAGCAGTTTTCCGACACCTGCTTCTGCTTCGCTTAAGGGAGAGTCCCTCTGTCCCCAGCATCTATGCACACACACACAGGGTTGGTTGAAATACGCTACACTCGTAGTACAGCAAAGCAGCGCTCTTGCAACCATTCAAGCAACCTACCTACCACAATCGCCTCTCATTACGAAATGCTGAGCGTCTGTCTGGAACCGCTTCATTGCCACTTGCAGCAGTCACTCTGCCCCCAGCACCACCAAATACGCCGCATTACCAAACTACCTCTCGCTTTCTTCTCTACCAACCAGCCAAACACAATCCACCACTCACTGCAAACTGCTGGGCGTTCTCCCACTCCTTCTTCTGGAACCGCTTCACTGCCACTTGCAGCCATTCCAGCCCCAGCGCGTACCCCTCTCTAGCCCTTCAGGTCCCAACACGCAGCACGCAGCACACATATGCCACTCACCGCAAACTGCTGTGCGTTCTCCCACTCCTTCTTCTGGAACCGCTTCACTGCCACTTGCAGCCCTTCCGGCCCCAGCGCGTACCCCTCTCTAGCCCTTCAGGTCCCAACACGCAGCACGCAGCACACATATGCCACTCACCGCAAACTGCTGTGCGTTCTCCCACTCCTTCTTCTGGAACCGCTTCACTGCCACTGGCAGCCCCTCTGGCCCCAGCACCCCCCGGTACACCACGTTCAGTGCCTGCCTCCCGCCCTCTGATACCACGTTCTTCTCACTGGGGAATGAAGGGAGGGTACAAAAACAACAGGAGCGCTATGAGATGGCCCATACGGGCCAAATGCAGCCCCTGTGCCCCCAGCAACCCCGGGTACACCACGTTCAGCGCCTGCCTCCCGCCCTCTGATACCACGTTCTTCTCACTGGGGGGTGAAAGGAGGGTATAAAAACAAGAGGAGAGCTATGAGATGGTCCATACGGGCCCCCAGCAACCCCCGGGTACACCACGTTCAGTGCCTGCCTCCCGCCCTCTGATACCATACCACGTTCTTCTCACTGGAGGAAGACGAAAGGGAGGCAGGGCAAGGTGGGGTGAGGTGAGATGGTGGGGGAGAGAGTGAGGAGGGAGGGAGTGTCAGGCCGTACAGCCCCTTTTGGCTCCAGCACCCCCCGGTACACCACGTTCAGTGCCTGCCTGCCACCCTCTGATACCACGTTCTTCTCACTGGGGGTAGTACGGAAGGGAGGCGAGGAAAGGAACACAAGAGGAGCGCTATGAGAAGCCCCATACAGACGGATCCATACAGACCAAAAGAATCTCCTGTGCTCCCAGCCCCCACTCCTTCCCCCCCCCCCCCCGTACACCGCCCTCAGCTTCTGCCTACCCCCCCCTTCCCCCCATCAGGTACCACAGCAATCTAGTCGCTGCCATCAGCTTCCCCAGCGCCATTCCTCTGTGAGGCACTGCAGCAACTGTATAACGTGTACAGAGTGCAGCATAGATTCTTACTCGACTAACCTGAAGTTGTTGGTAGCTGCCATCAGCTCCTCCAGTGCCATTCGTCGAAACTCAGGGCCCGCTGCTGCCTTGCCACTGCCGTTACCACTGCCGGTGCCACCGCCACTGGTGTTGTTGTTGTTGCTGTAGTCGCTACTGTTGTGAACTGGTGCTGCTGAAGAGTCTGTTGCTGAAGCTAGCTGGGGCTGTGCCTGTGGCTGTGGTTGCATTAGGGGTTGTGACGCTGCTGGTCCTGCTGCGGATCAGGGTGGGAGGTCAGGATTGGATGGGTGGGGGCGAAGCAAGGCATGAGGTTGATGACGGAGATGGATGGGAGGAGAAAAGGCATGGGGGGAATCATGGCAGTGCGGGCAAGAGAAGGGAGCGGGGGGGTGGAGGAGACGCTGGGTGGGCAGGGGGAGTGGTAGGGGAAAATCAGGAAAGCAGGGTGGGCTGGCAGGGGTGGTGGAAGAAAACAGCAGGGGCAGGGGCGGAGAGGGGAGAAGCAGGATGGGCATGCGGGGTGGTGAGGGAGAAGCAGTGTGGGCAAGGCGAGAGAAACGGAGGGGAAAAGAGTGGGGGTGGGCGCAATGTGGGCAGGAAAGTTGGTGTGGGCAGGAGACGCAATGTGGGCAGGGGGGTTGGTGTGGGCGGGAGACGCAATGTGAGCAGGTGGGGTGGTGTGGGGGAAGCAATGTGAGCAGGAAGAGTGGTTGGGGGAAAGCAATGTGAGCAGAGGGAGAGGTGGGGGGAACGCAATGTGGGCAGGGTAGAGGTGGGGGGAATGCAATGTGAGCAGAGGGAGAGGTGGGGGGAACGCAATGTGAGCAGAGGGAGAGGTGGGGGGAACGCAATGTGGGCAGGGGAGTTGGTTGTGAGAGACGCAATGTGAGCAGAGGGAGAGGTGGGGGGAACGCAATGTGGGCAGGGGAGTTGGTTGTGGGAGACGCAATGTGAGCAGGGGGAGAGGTGGGGGTGACGCAAGCAGGGGGGCCGATGGTGGGGACGCAGTGTGGACATGGGGAGTGGTGGGGGAGACGCAATGCGAGCAGGGGGGGTGGTGGTGGAAACGCAATGTGGGCAGGGGGAGTGGTTGTGATGCTGCTTTTGCGCATGCAGATGAAAATGGAAGATCAAAATTGTCATGGGAACAAACACGTGGGTGGGAATGGTGGTGAGTGTGATGTTTTTTTTTGTGAAAGATACCAAATGGGAGAAGGGGGAGAGGAGGGGGGGGGGGAGGGGGAGGGGGGGAGAAAGGAAGAGTACTATATAAGACTTTCACAATTTGGCCTTTACCTGGTATGCCGTTACTTTCCGCCGCCCTGTCTCCATGTGCGGCCTGCTGTTGCTCGGATGGCTGGGCTTTCCCAGGCCCTTGATCCGTAAGTACAGCACCATCAGACGGTTGTCTCTGCTCGTCGGATTGTGGCTGTTCCTCCTGCCGCTTCTCTGCCACTGCTCCCTCCGCCTCCTGCAGTTGCTGCTGCTGCTGCTGCTGCTGGGACTGACCAGATTCGGGTTGTGCCTGCTGCCGCTGCTCTTCCCTTGATTTATTCTGCTCTCTCTCCCCCTCTTCCGCTTCCTTTTGGGCTTTAAAGCACACCGACCCCATAGCACCAATTCACGACTAACGGAAATAGCCCTGTGTGTGAATAAGCTGGCACATTCTTGAGCAATGAGCTGGTTACCCTACAGTTTTGAACGTGCCCGAAATGCAAGCTGGATTCGCACAGGCCCCAACAAAACTGATCCTTTCGCCACACCCTGGAATTGAGGCCCTGGTCTCCTAAAACGGGACCCCAGAGGTAGCAGTACTGGTGCGGGAACAAGTTAAACTGGCAAGGCAGGTCAGGTGGGAATGCAGGTTAACTAGGCAGGTCAATTCAGGAGGTAAGTAGACTGGGGGGGAAGCAGGCTGGATAGGCAGAAGTAGTTGAGTTTTACGATGACGCCTCAAAAGCAGAAGCAACGCGAGAGCGGGGATGGAGATGAGCGAACACGTTCGGAATGCGGGGCTATGCAGTGTAGCGGTGCAAGCGGGGTTTCAGAGTTACCACGGCCATAAAGCTGCTTCTCTGAGACCGTCTCGCGAAGGCAGCGGCTCAGAGGAGCGATACTGGGAGCGCGAAGGTAATATATTTGGAAATTATTTTAGGAGAACACAGGTCCTCTAGGATACACTACTAGGGGAAAGTAGGACGGCGACTTTCGCCTAACCTAGACGGCAGTTCTTCCACGGAATACAGTCGAAAAGCTGCAGGTTTGAGAAGCAAGCCTCAAAATGGAAGCAGCCTACAAAGCACTCTACTGGTCATGAAGAGCAGAGCTAATTTTAGCGTTGATCATCATAGGCACATCAGTGAGAAACTTTCTGTGAGAACGAGTGGTGATGATGCATGAAGAGATACGCATCACTCGAGCTTTGCTCTTGTGGACGCAACAGTTCTTGTCTGGATCATGGATATGTTCGATGGCCCCTCGGGATCTGTCTTAGTAAAGGGGTTAGACGCGGCTCAGTAAGGTCTTGCCAAATATAGCGGAGTGTAGTACGGTGTCGAGACATTCTCTGGGCACTTGACCCTCGATGTTACCGCTAAGCGGGTCTGAAAATGGAGAGTCATCCTTGCCGAATCAACCTGTTCTTCCAGAAAGTGGGGAAAGTCTTGCACTCTTCTGTTCACTTGTTGCGGTTGAGTACGATGGCGTGCAATTTAGGGTGATTTTCTTTCTTCATCGCTTTGAATAGCGACTCACCTCTTCCATATTTTGAAACAACAGTTTCTAGGTCTTAGAGAACTAGTCCAATTGCGAGAGATGTCTCGATTCCGTACAGAGTTCTTTAGCTTCAAATATAGCCCGTGGAATCTTTTCATGGTGTAAGGAATTTTCTCATATTCCTTAGCGCACCCTGCAAAATCGCGTACAGCAGCAGCCGTTGTTCGCCCGTTACTGCTAACGGGGCTTCGCCGACTTCGCGCGCACTGTTTCACCAAACCTCGCACTGCTGGCCTGGCCGTATCGGCCTACGCTTCGGGACTAGCCCGAGCCTCGCTTCCAGCGTAGCACTAGCTAGCTCGCACGCACCGCGTTACCGTTTGCATGTTTCGCGTATAAATGTTCGCTCATGCCTTCGCTCACATTTTGTACTCGTTTTGACACCTTAGTGCAATTCTCGCTACTTCGATTAATTGCACCCATAACACTTAATATTCAGAGCCCCTTTCTTTCGGACCGCGCATCTCCGCACCCCAGGAAATCAACTTTTGATTTTTCATTCGAAGGGACTCACGTACCTTAGCACCTAGGAGTGCCTGTCCTCACGTTCTTGTCAAATGTTGTAGCCTGTAGTGAGGTTTGTCTTAGGGGGTACAGAAGTTAGGGTTTGTTATATGTACCCCAACCAACATCAATGGAACACCCATTCCTCATTCTGACATGGTATCAGCTAGGTTAGGATCCTGTGGGATCCCGTTCCTCCGTTCTCCGTTCGTACCTCCCGAGCCTGATCCTACCTCTCGTTCGTACCAGTTTCGTTGTTACCGCGCCTAGTACCGAGCCTAGAGCCATCTCCCCCGTCGCGTCACGCCCGTTCCCCCCGTCGCGTCGCGCCCGTTCCCCCCGTCGCGTCGCGCCCGTTCCCCCCCGTCGCGTCGCGCCCGTTCCCCCCGTCGCGTCGCGCCCGCCTGTTACCCCCCCCGTCCCGTCGCCCTGTCCCGTCGCGTCGCCCTGCCCTGTCCCGTCGCCCTGTCCCGTCGCGTCGCCCTACCCCGTCGCGTCGCCCTGCCCTGTCCCGTCGCCCTGCTCCGTCGCGCCGCCCTGCCCCGTCGCGTCGCCCTGTCCCGTCGCGTCGCCCTGCCCCGTCGCGTCGCTCCCGCCCTTTCCCCCGTCGCGTCGCCCTCCCTAGGCCCTGGCCCGTCGCCCTCCCTAGGCCCTGGCCCGTCGCCCTCTCTAGGCCCTGGCCCGTCGCCCTCCCTAGGCCCTGGCCCGTCGCCCTCCCTAGGCCCTGGCCCGTCGCCCTACCCTAGGCCCTGGCCCGCCGCCCTAGCCCGCTCTTCCGCTGCGACTGAGTCCTCTTCCCCCCCGGTTGTTACTCGCCTGTTCGTTCGCGTTGGTTCTCGCTATGGCGACTCCGCGAGTTCTTCGTTTCGACGCCGACGGTAGACCCCTTGACTTTTCCGTCTGGCTTCTTCGCGCTCGTCGTCTGTTAGAGAGTCAGGTCCAGGGGGGCGAGACCCTCTGGTCACACGCTACTGGTGACCTCCCCGAGCCCCCCGAGCCTACAGCTTTAGGCCCTGCTCCTGACGACGCTGCTACGGCTCGCTTTGCCCGTCAGCGCGCTGACCGGACGGCTTGGACGTCGCGTGACGCTGCGGCCTGCATCGCACTCAGCAGCCTCCTCCCTGAGTCCGAGGAGGTCCACTTTACTCAGGTTCGCACTGCTGCTGCGTACCTCACTGCGATTAAGGCCCGCTACTCTACTCCCGCTACTGTCTCTCTCCGCCGTCTTTTCCTCCCGTTCCTGTTTCCTGATCTTGCCTCGTTTGAGCGCTCTGCTGACTTGATCGCTCACCTCCGCTCGCTCGACGCTAGTTACCGCACTGCTTGCACTGAGGCACAGCTTGCACTGCTTCCTCCCCCCATGGCGATTACTGTCTATTTCATCGCCACTAGCCTCCCTGACCGCCTTGCCTCCGTTCGTGACGCGCTTCTGCTGAAGCACCCTAGTGAGCTGACTGTCGAGGTCCTTGAGTCTGCACTCAAGGACGTCGAAAGCAACCTTCGTTCGGTAGCTGCCGCCTCTGGTACTGTGTCCCCCCCACTCTTCCACGGGTGCACAGTCCCGCAGTTACCCACCTTCACTGCCTCTCTTGCCACTGCCGCTACTGACGCGACTGCGGCTGCTGTTACGACTGCGTCGCGGTCCCGCGGCAGGGGGGGCAAGAAAGGTGGTTCCGGTGGAGGTGGAGGCGGAGGTAGCGGAGGTAGTGGGGGTGCTGTTGCGACTGGCGGTGGTGGGAGTGCAGCGTCTGGAGAGACCCCTCGTGCAGCGGCTGGTGACTCCACTGCACCTGCTGGTGGCGGCGACCCTCGAGCTCGTCAGTCGCCTCCTGTACTGCCGGCCCCGCTAGGTGGAGCAGCGGCGTGGTACCAGGCTCAGCGTCAGCAGCACCTTCAGCAGCAGCCCCTTTCCTCCCAGCAGCCTCAGCAGCAGCAGCGTCAGCAGCTGGCTCCGGGGTCGGGGCTGCGTCAGCCCCAGCGCGGTGCTGCTTACCCTCCCTGCCCCTACCAGGTTCAGACAGGTCCTCGTCGGGGCCACCCTTGTGGCCGCTTTCACCCCCCTGGTCAGTGCTTTGCTCAGCTCACTGACACGGTCCGGTTGACCTACGGGGTTGGCGGTCCTGCTCCTGACTGGCTTCCTCTGGTTCAGCGCTACGGCTCCGCTCTGTGGGGCATGTCTGCTGAGCAGTTAGTTGATCTGATTAGTGCTCCTCATGCTATGTATGCTGTTGTTGACTCTAGTGTTTCTGACTCTGTTTACTCTGGTGTTGTTAGCTTAGGTGCTAGTCTTGCTCAGTTGCCTGTTGCTAGTGTAGGTACTTGTGTAGACTCTAGACCAGCGACTACCTCAGAGGACGCTTCGCTGTCGTTCACACTGGACTCTGGAGCCTCCCACTGCTTCTTTCGGGACAGCACGACACTTACACCACTTCCTGCGCCTGTTTCTGTAGCGTTGGCTGATCCCACTACGGGACCAGTCACTGCACGTCACACTACCACTTTACCGTGTCCTGCTGCTCCCTCCGGGTCTCTCACTGGGTTTCACGTCCCCTCGTTCTCCTGGAACTTGGTGGGCGTGCGACCCCTCGTGAGTCAGCACGTGGGTGTGTGGTTTGAGCCTTCTGGAGAGACTGCGGTGTGTGTTGACGGAGACTCTTACTAGCCTCTTGCTACCTTTACTGCTGAGCCGGGCTCGGGTCTCTACACTCTTCACACTGGCCCGCGTGCGCCGCAGCAGCAGCCGCAGCAGCAGCAGCAGCCGCAGCCGCAGCAGCAGCAGCAGCAGCAGCAGCAGCAGCACCAGCGGCCGCACCAGCAGCCCCCCCTACTGCCACTGCCCCCGGTTCCCCCCCCCGTTCGGGTCCCCGCGTCTCACCAGGTTGCTACGTCCCCCCAGGTGTCTGTGTCGTGTCAGGTTCCTACGTCTGTTCCAGTCGCTGCGTCGTGCTCCTGCCGGTCACTTGCCCACCCCACCGTTCTGTGGCACCACCGGATGGGGCACCCGTCCCTTCCACGTCTGCGCGCTATGTCTAGTCAGCGTCTTGTCCTAGGCCTCCCACGTGTCTTGCCGTCGCTGCCGCCTTCGCCTGCGCCGCCGTGTCGTCCCTGCGTCGAGGGTAGGCTGCGCACCACCCCTCACTCCTCCTCCCTTCGTCCGGCCACCGAGTTTTTTGAGACGCTTCACTTGGACGTCTGGGGCCCAGCCCCTCGTCTAGGCCCTGAGCGTGAGCGTTACTTTCTGGTGGTCGTTGACGACTTCTCCCGCTATGCCACAGTGTTCCCTCTGGCGAAGAAGTCTGAGGTGACTTCTACGCTGATCAGGTGGTTGCTCACCACTGAGGACACTCGTGGTCGTCGTGTCAGCTGTCTCCACTCCGACCGTGGGGGTGAGTTTCGCTCCGGCATTCTCGCTGGATTCTGTCGCGAGCAGGGCATTCGTCAGTCCTGGACGCTTCCAGAGTCCCCACAGCAGAATGGGGTTGCTGAGCGCCGCATAGGCCTGGTCATGGAGATCGCCCGCACCTCCCTGACTCACGCCTGTGCCCCCCATTTTCTGTGGCCCTACGCGGTCAGGTACGCCGCGCACCAGCTGAACCTCTGGCCACGTGTCTCTCGACCAGAGGTTTCACCGACCAGTCTTTGGACAGGGTCCCCTGGTGTTGTGTCGCGGTTTCGTGTCTGGGGGTGCTTGGCTCTTGTCCGCGACACCTCCGCGGACAAGCTCTCGCCTCGTGCCGTCCCCTGTGTCTTCCTTGGTTTCCCTGAGGACTCCTCTGACTTCACCTTTTACCACCCTCCCTCTCACCGGTTCTTTGACTCCCGTGACGTCCGTTTCGAGGAGTCCACTCCGTACTACGTCAGGTACCCCAGTCGAGGTCTCCCGGTTCCTCCTCCCCCCCTCTTCCTGACTGCCGTTCCCCCTCCTGCTCCCCCGGTACAGCCTCCCCCCCCTGGTCCAGCCCCGTCAGGTGTGTCCCAGGCTACCCCTCCTCCTTCGGTAGCCCATCCGGTACAGCCTCCCTCCCCACAGTCCTCCTCGCAGCGTGCCGCTGGTGCTAGCTCTCGAGAGGTTGGTGCGGCGCCTGTTCCTGTACCGGTTTCTGGTTCTGGGGGTGCTGGAGTTGGAGCTGGAGTTGGAGCTGGGGTTGGAGCTGGAGTTTCTGGTTCTGGAGTTGGAGCTGACCCGGTGGGTGCAGAGGACTCTTATCGTCCGGGAGCTGGTGCTGGCCGCGCGGACACTGGGGGTGCTGCGTCTGGGGGTGAGGGTGCGCCTCCTTCGGGTTCAGGTGAGCCTGGGTCTGGAGCTGGTGTTAGTGCTGCCTCTGGGGGTGGTGCGCCTAGTTCTTCTGGGGTGGACTCTGGAGCTGCCGCTGCTACGGACACTACTCTACCCCCCCACCCCTACCCGACTAGGCACCAGGCTCGTGTTCGCCGTGCCCGTGACGAGCAGCTGGCGTTGGAGAGAGAGGAGAGGGAGTTACAGCGGCTGGAGGAGCAGCAGCAGCAGCTGGAGCCGCAGGAGCAGCAGCAGCAGCAGCAGCAGCAGCTGGACCCGCAGGAGCAGCAGTCCCAGCAGCAGCCGCTTCCGCAGCAGCAGCAGTCGCAGCCGCAGCAGCAGCAGCCACTTCCTCCTCCTGTCTCGGGTCTTCGGATCCTTGGTCTCCCCTCCCCTTCTCCTCCCTCCTCCGCCTCTCCTCCTGTCTACGGTCCCACGTTTCCTCCTCCTGACTCCTCCCCCGCTGTTTTCCCCAGTTCTCCGCCCTTGTCCTCTTCTCCTCCGTCTCGTTCTTGGGCTACTCGTCGCTCCCCTCGTGCTCGTCCCTCGTCTCCTGTTCCCTTCACTGACCTTCGTACTGCCTTCCTTCTTTCTAGTCCACCTCGTCCGTCTCAGTCTGTGCTTCCGTCTCCTCCTGAGTCGGCCCTCACTGTGTCGCTCCCTACTCCTGTCACTGACTACTACCGCATGTACCGTCCTGTTCTCTCTCGTGTTCTCGCCTCTCTTGTTACTCACCCTCGTGTCTCTGTGTCCTCTGTGTCCGCTCTTACTGCCGCGGTTACTGACTTTGCCTCTACCCGCCGCCTTGACTACGCCACCACGCTTGTGACTGCTCCTCCTACCAGTCCTCCGGTCGTCGGGGGTGTGTCTGCCCTTGGCTGTGACGCCCTAGAGGACAGGCAGTTTGAGCTAGAGTTCCTGGCGGCCGCTTCCCCTCATCTCTGTGCCATGCTCCTCGCCCCTGAGGGTGACCCCGACGCCCTTGACATTCCGACTCCTCGCACTTACGCTGAGGCAGTGTCAGGGCCTTGGGCCTCTCAGTGGAGAGCTGCCATGGACGCAGAGATGGCCTCCTACAGATCCACACGCACCTACGTCGATGAGGTTCCCCCCCCTGGGGCGAACGTAGTCGACGGCATGTGGATCTACAGGGTGAAGCGGCCACCGGGATCTCCCCCGGTCTTCAAGGCGCGCTACGTGGCTAGAGGTTTCAGTCAGCGCGAGGGAGTTGACTTCTTTCAGACCTTCGCACCTACCCCGAAGATGACCACTCTTCGGGTGTTACTACACGTAGCAGCACAGAGAGACTACGAGTTACACTCTCTTGACTTCTCCACTGCTTTCCTTCAGGGCAGTCTACACGAGGAGGTCTGGTTGCGTCGTCCCTCGGCCTTCACTGGCACTTTCCCTCCTGGGACCCAGTGGAGGCTGAGGCGACCTGTTTACGGTCTTCGCCAGGCCCCTCGTGAGTGGCACGACACTCTGCGTTCTACCCTCTCTGACCTTGGGTTCCAGCCGTCTTCTGCCGACCCGTCGCTGTTCGTTCGTCGTGGCTCCACACCGTTCTTTGTTCTGGTCTACGTCGACGACCTCGTTTTCGCCACTTCGGACAGGGTTGCTTTGGCAGACGTGAAGTCCGAACTGCAGAAGAGACACACGTGCACTGATCTTGGTGAGCTGCGCCACTACCTTGGCCTGCAGATCACCAGGGACAGAGCCGCTTGCACCATTACACTCCCACAGTCACACATGGTGCAGCAGGTCCTTCAGCGGTTCGGGCTTCAGCACTCCACCGTACAGCGCACACCTCTAGCTGTTGACCACAGACTCACTGGTCCCTTTCCTGACGAGCCGTTTGAGCCTAGTGGTCCCTACGCAGAGCTTGTGGGTTGCCTCATGTACCTGATGACTTGTACTCGCCCGGACCTCGCCTTCCCTCTCAGCATCCTTGCGCGCTTTGTTGCGCCAGGGAGACACCGTCCTGTTCACTGGACGGCAGCTGTGAGGGTGGCGAAGTACCTAGCGACTACATCAGGAGTGGGGCTAGTTCTTGGAGGGCAGCAGTCTGTCGTACTCACTGGTCACTGTGACTCCTCTTACGCTGACGACGCTGAGACTCACAGGTCTACTCAGGGGTACTGTTTCAGTCTGGGTTCTGGAGCTGTTTCCTGGCGTTCCACGCGCTCCTCTTCTGTCTCGACCTCTACAGCTGAGGCTGAGATTTACGCTGGTGCCATGGCGGCACAGGAGTTGCGGTGGTTGACCTTCTTGCTCGCCGACCTTGGTGAGCGGCCGAGCTCTGCACCGACCTTGTTTACTGACAACAAGGCGTTGATCCTCCTCTGTCGTGAGCCGCGACTGGAGAGCAGAGTGAAGCACATTCACGTCAGGTACTTTCTTCTGCGAGAGTTGCAGAGGCGTGGACAGGCTCGCTTCGAGTTTGTTGAGTCCGAGGCCAACACTGCAGACATCTTCACCAAGGCGCTTCCGCCTTGTGACCACCAGAGGTGTTGTGTGCAGTTAGGCCTTGTTGACACAGGTTCTAGTCATGCGTAGACTTGAGTTTATTGCCTGCTTCGTCTGTACACTTACTATATATACTTGTGATCTCTTGGACTGGCCTTGTGGCCACTGTTGCTTGTGCTCAGAGTGTGTGGTGACGTTGTGATCCACTTTGAGCTTTGTTTTCTTTTGGACTGGTCTTGTGACCGTACTCTTTTTTTTTTTGTTTTTGCTAGACACCCCTCACTTAGGCTATGGGGGTGTGTCAAATGTTGTAGCCTGTAGTGAGGTTTGTCTTAGGGGGTACAGAAGTTAGGGTTTGTTATATGTACCCCAACCAGCATCAATGGAACACCCATTCCTCATTCTGACAGTTCTCTCGTAAACGCGTGCAGCCACGACTGCGCCTAGACTAAGACGAGCCGACGCCCTTCGAAATGGTTGAACATATCGACGTCACGACTCTCACGCAGGAGCACTTGAACGATCTGCTGCGACAAATCCGCGAGAGCGCCGAGGAAATCGCAACGCTGACGGCAAAACGCTCGTCCCTGCAAAACGACCTCACACGAGCACAATCCCAAGCACATGGCACTCCGATCCAGCCCGCACCACATGCATCACAGCACGGAAGTGTGGGGCAACCCGCGAGCGCCGCAAGTGATGGCGTCGTCTGCCATGACGGACACGACGACCACGGCACGACACACCCCGACGCGACGAATGCGGCCACGACTCAGCCTCGAGTCACGATTTCAGTGCTGGCCGGCGAATCAGCTCTTCCGTCGCCGATGCCGCTAAATCCGCAGCGTCCGCCATGCTTTGACCCAAATCAGCGGGGTGGTCCTACCGTTCAGGCGTGATTGTTCACGATGAACGTGTTTTTCGACGCGAACTACGTCTCGGAGGATACGGCGAAGATTCGTTACGCCGTGTCGTTGCTGCGAGGACCCGCCATGGACTGGTGGCGCGTCATCGTCACGAAACCGGTGGACTACACGACACTACCGACACGGGAAGGACAAACCGGACCCTGGGCGCCGTCGTATTTCGTGGAGGTGCCCCAGTATCACACATGGGACGCGTGGTGCGCAGGTCTGCGCGCTCGTTTCGAGCCAATCGCGGCTTCGATCGCGGAGCGTCAGAAGCTCCGCACTTGGCGCCAACTCGGTTGCGTCCAAGACTACACGAGCGGATTTCTGGCACTATGCGAGCAGGTGGGATACATGCACGAGAGCGAGCGCATCGACCGCTACATCCGCGACCTGAAGCAGGACATCGCTCAGGAAATCCAGCTTCGCGGCGTCACCGACTTTCAAGAAATTCTCGCTATGGCGGAAAAACTTGATTTCTTCCGCCGATCGAGACCGGGGTCCTACGGAAGCAGCCATTGGGGACATCGGCCTCGTGGGACGAACGAGGGCGCCACGATACGTGCCGTCGCCGCAAATGCCGTTGCCGCACCATTCAAAGGGCGCTGCTTTGCGTGCAATCGGCCAGGACATCGCAAGAACGAATGCCCAGAAAACGCTAAGGGAAAGGGGGAAGCTGAGCAGCAGAAACAGACCAAGCAGCAGGGAAACGCTGGGAGTCAGTAGCAGACGCGCCCTCTACTGACAGGTCACGCCGCTCGCCCGACCCAACCGACCCTCACCGAGTGATTGTGCCGGTTCACGCAATCGACCACACCCGGCCGAATGAGGAGGGGACTACGGTAGACAGCCCCATACTGCTTAGTGGGAAAATTGGGACGGACTTAGTAAAAATCTTCGTAGACGGGGGAGCCAGCCACAGCCTCATCAACACTGCCACAGCACGAAAACTGCGACTGCCACTCGACAGATGTTTACCTAAGATCGACGCAAGACTGGTAGACGGCACACCGCTGGCGATACGGGAACGCGTAGACCGGGTTCGGATTCGATGTGGGGGTAACTTCACGTTTAGCCAGGAAATGCTCGCAACGCTCCTCGACGGAACCGATATTTTACTCGGGCGTGATTGGTTGCGAGGACACAACCCGCGAATCGACTGGACGACGGGTGACTGCACCGTGGTTACAACATCGCCTTACCTCGCTGGGGCTCGCCTGAGTCTTCGTCGGTATGTGTCAACGCGATTACGATGAAACGAGGCGTAGCGGCAGGAGCTGACGTGTACGCGGTGGACATTCGGGAAGCCGAGGCAGCAGACAAAGGAGGGGATTTACAGAAACTGCTGGCCGACGTACCGAGTGATCTGGCAGCACTGTTGAAGCAGTACAGCGACATTTTCCCGGACG